TGGATAAGGTAAGCAAAAGAAAAATTTGGCTTCCCCAGGTCCACCATAGCCTGGTCTAAATTACATCCTTTGGCTGAGATGTACCGAAATTGCATTATGCAAGATCTGGGAAATGCTTTCGTTACATTTTAATCCCTTCTATTTCAAGGAAGCTCATGAACAATATAACAGCTCGTTGTACAATGTGGGTCCAAAGGCGTTTTGCAAATTGCAATAAAATTATAATTAGGGAATCTTCAAGGTAATTTTAACTGTCAGCGAATTTATATATTATTTCTGCTGCAGGGCTGCAGTAAATTCCACCATTACATTGGCCAGCAGAGGTCCAATAGTATTGCATAACAAGAGTAGAATGAGGATCATTAAATACTAGCTGTACCCACGGGCTTTGCCCCGTTTAACTTCATAAGTATTCGAATGGCTCATTCACGTCCTGGTTGAAGTTCGTTCGCTACGCTCACTCACCTTAAGGTTGGAAATTAGCTGTTGTCATAAATAAAAAAAAAAATAATAGTGCTGCACCCTGTTGGTAATCCTTGTAAATTTTATGCTATTGAACATCATAGAACAGAACCAACTTGTTTAATTGAAACAGCTGTTAAGATTCATTAATTCCTTTAAAATATGAAAAATCATAAGGTTAACATGGGGAACTACAGAGCCACTGGGGCGGAGCCCGAAAAAAATTTTGAGATAAGAATATGCTTTAATGTTAATCGGGAATGTGAGCTATCATCATGCCAAATTTCAGCCCAATCCGTCCAGTAGTTTATGCGTGATTGAGCAACACACACATACACACACACACACACACACACAAACTCACAAACTTTCAGATTTATAATATTAGTAAGATTTGAGACTATATGTTAAAAAATATGGTCGAGAATGTGTAATGGTTTTACTCACTTTCACTCGTGTTTTGAATTCACTCACTTTTCACTACTACAAAAACTAATTATTTTATTAATTGATATTTCTCTGTTACAGTTAGTAATACTGTATTATAAAAATCATAGAATTTTTTCTGTTAACGTTCAATTTAAAGTTAAAATTTACATTGATTGTACAGTTTGTTGCAAATTGACACAGTTGATGAAACAATAACAAATCTGTTTTTTTTTTACGTCGGAAAATAAAAAAGATAGTAGTTAACATTACTTTTCCATTGTAAACATTATTTTTCCGTAGTAAACAATGAAATGATGAATTTTTGCAGGTGACGAACATGTAACGAACCTTTTTTTTTACCACGCAATACGAAATTGAGAAAATACACACAATATGCACACTATAACAGTCCACAACTGGAACTTTAAGGTTATGTGGAGAAATATTTAGGGTAATCAGTAAAAATAATAATAAATACTGTAGTTGCTAAGCAACGGTGACAATAAAACAAGTCTATATTTCAAAGCATATAGACAGCTTGTGTGTTAAATCAAGGCCCCACTAGAAAAACTTTTTTCTAGTGGGGCCTTGGTTAAATATACAAGATTAATGTTTTAAGTAAATAAGCGAACAGCTGATATTCGGTCCTAGGGCTACAAAAACCTTGTTCACAAATAACGATGACTAATGGCATGGAAAGCAAAACGTCAGACCACTAGACGGTATTTTAAAATTAAATATATAAACTAGCTGTGTACCCGTTCTACATACGGGGTGAACAAAATATATAGTACAAACAATACAATGGGGAACCAATTTTATTATGTCAAGTATAAATTCAAGCATTTAATTTACAGTAATAATAAAAAGAAAGAGTTATAACTAACACAATAGTAAGTATGGAATATTAAAAAGAAATAATAATATAGATACTATATCGAAATAATTACAGTTAAACTATTAAACATAATGATAGTAGTATTAAAAAAATTACAATAAAACATTTAAATGAGAAGTGGTATAAATTGTGGTATTTAGAATATCTTTCCCTTCTTTCACCCGAGGTTTCTTTCATTGACAAAGAGTCAATGTGACAATGACAATGTGTGTGGTTTATCTGAGTGCCTCCTCATACACTACGTTTGCAGTATGGCCGCCCGAGGCATGAATGAAGAGGCTTTTGCTGGATCTCACACTGGAATACGCAACCATCGATGTATTATACATCGATGTACGCAACGTACAACTGTCCGTGAGAGAAACATGCTGATCTGTTCAGTTTGGTTGGGGACAACATCTAGTCTTTTGATTTATTAATCGTCATGGCGAAGCAAAATGTGACGCGGAAATGTAGCTGCTTGAACTCTCGGGTAGTTGCTAGGAATTAATGGAATAATTGGGATAATTAACAATACCCCAGCCCCACAACCAGTGAGAATCTCTGCTTCAATGATGTACTGGAGACTGCAAATACAAAGACGCGTACCATTACACAATTTGGCTGGATGTAAGTTTCTTAGCAGCATCACTGGAGCTCCAATCTTCAGGGTGAGCTCATAGGCAGGCAAACCGGGTGCTGATACTGAGTCGAAAAACTCTGCTGGATAGTTTACAGCATCATCTTCTCTAAGTATGGTGTTCACTGACTTATACGTAAGTTATTTAACGTGGAAGAGAGTCATCGCCTAAATGTTTATCTGCATTGCTTGCTCGTTTTTAGGTATCAGAATTGCACAATATTCCAGGAGCAGCTGATATTATCTAATTTACAATAGATCACTTGACTTGTAAGGTAAAACTTAAAACAAAATGAGTCTAATACCGCACAAAACTGGGTTTTTGAGTGTTCGTTATTTTATTACTAATGGACGTAGACAAGTTTCAAGTAAAAACCTTCTCATGCATGTAGAGAATACATCAAAATAGTTTCATCATAATCTGTTTTAGTTGTTTTCCCGGACCAGCTCTGGCAGGAGAGCTGGGAACAGGAGTCGCGGGGACGCTGGACCAGGAGACTGATTCAGCAAGTCCAACCATGGGTTGACCGACGGTATGGTGAGGTGGACTATTACCTTACCCAGTTTCTGACAGGTCACGGGTTTTTTCGGTCATACCTGTTCAGGATGGGCAAAGCCGTGTCACCCAATTGCACACGATTAGGTTCACGATCTACTGCCCAGGCACTCCCGACAACGCAGAGCACACCTTCTTCCGCTGCCAGCGTTGGGAAGGTTCCCGCCTGGAGACTGAACAACATGTAGGGCAGTTGTTGGTAGACGTGGTCATTCCGATGATGACGGAGGGTGAGGACAATTGGACCTGTATGTCACATTTCGTCCAGGATATTCTCTGTACAAAGAAGCTAGAGCTTGACCGAGATGCAGTCTAGGTCATAAAGAAATTGAATGCCAGAAACGGCGCGAGCCATGAGGGATTAGGTCACAGTTGATCTGACCTGAAGTAATGTGACAAACAATCCCAGGTCTGTGTCCAACAGAGTAGAGGGGGTTTTTTAGTGAGTAGTCTGACAAGCTAAGGAGTCTCACACTACAGGCTGGCTACCTGTGTGCGTAAAAGCATTTTTACCTCCTCTCCCTAAAAAAAAAAAAAGTTGTTTTCCCGGAGAAGAGAGGGTAAAATGCCATCTTGGGTGTTACAGACAGACAGACAGACATAAATCAAGATAACACGCGTTTCGGCTTTCCTATCGTATGAAATGAAAAAAACCAAGACATTTATGATTCTACGCAATGTACAGACAAAACTCCAATTTTATTTATATAGAAGAAGAAGATAGATAGATAGATAGATAGGAAAATCTCTTCATCGACAAGTTATTTTATCGTCAGACCCATTGGCCAACTTGTTAAATTAAATTATAAATACGAGAATCATTTGTAAAACAGCTAAAAACATCGTAGTGTTGTGAAACAGTATATTTCATAAATACCCCCGCCGCAGAAAACCTGCACACTTAGCAAATTTCCATTTGCCTGTTTACATTTACACTAAAATGTCTCCTTAAAAATATCACATTTATTCCCTAATTAAATAGAATTAGTTTAACAAGTACTTAGGTTTACTGCAACAGGGAGGGTAAAAAAGTATTTTTTTTTAAGATGTGAATACTGTAGTTTAATAAGAAATGAATGTATTTTCAAAATTTGATCAAAATATGTTTATAAACAACCAACCTATAACAGTTGACTTATTCTCCATAAGAATAACATGGGAATGTTAAATTAAAATTTTTTTAAAATTTTCTCCGTAACCATTAAGCGCATAGTAACGCTTAAATGTACTAAATTATTTGGTTTTTCTTAAGCTCTACAAAATGGTTTGGAAAGAAATTGTGTTTTTAGGGTCAAAAATGGGAAAAACCTATTTTTACTCCATAAAACCCCCCATATAAACCCTCGTTCTCATAGTCCGATTATGCTGGTTCACGAACTCATTCAAATAAATGTGGGTTTACACGTTTGTACCAAATTTTATAAAAATCCGATCATTTTTGCTCTGGGGGATTGCCCAACCATTTCAAGTTGATAGACCTCTATCATAGAAACGAGAAATGCCGGGAGCGCGCCCAAGTGTTGGTGCAAATCTCTAAGGGAGTGGCATTCCCGGCATTTCACCTTCCCCTATATCCTAGCTTGTTGGATGAAATACACTGTATACACTATAGTTTAATACGATATATATATAATTTAATTTGTGCCAATGTGTAATTATTAATAAAGGAAAGTATAAAAAGGTTGCTTTATGTGAACATAAAGTAAGCGAGGATTTATTTTAATTTTTCGTTCAGAGAAAAACTTTCAGTGGGAAAATTATAGGTGATTATGTTCCGATCGTAAAACTTGAGCTCGGGTCGAAAAGAGACACATTACGCCCAAGTAATGAAATACAGTACAGTATAATATAAGCAATAAAATCTTTTAAAATCTTTTAAAATTTAAAAGAAATTTTTAGATAATTTTCTAATTGTTTTACAAATTCAGTATGAAACACACTTTTGTAATAACTCCCTTAGTAGCATGATTTTTACCAAAAACATTAGTGATAAGATACATTAGTAGAATATTAGGACGCATATACAGGCCTACAGCGTTTGCAGTGATGGTAATTGTCCAATTACACAAGTGTTTGATGGTTCAACAATGATATAATGATTCAAAAACTCGAGAATTGATAGATTATTCTTTCTGAGCCATCCAAGATGAGGTCTGTAATTGTTTTGCTGCTGATTCTCGCTGTTTTTGAAATGTCAGAAGCCTGTTATATGTTTGGGACTTTGTCGGATCTATCAGGAAACATCCTCCAAAGTTTGGACCCCTCCTCATGGAGTATATGGAGCTCAAAAACTGCTTCCAGTTTAAGTTAGACGTGAGTTTTATTGTATACTATACAGCACTCTTTTATTCAGTCAAAAGTCAAGATTTTATTTCGTACATCAAGCCAGCTTGGTTGGGTAGACAGGCGAAAAACCGCGAAGGTTCACAAAGAACTTAAAACGAATACTATACATATATATATTGTTTATAGTACTCAGAAAACACACACCATTTAACAAGTCATCTAAGCCTACTTTTTAGGCCTAGATGTTTCTAATATTTCAATTGATTAGATTGTTTTCATCATTTCTGGTAGTTTAATATATATTTCTATCCATATATCATTTTACATTGTGGTAGATATAAAATAAAGCAATTCTGTGCATGGGGGTGCAGAAAATGTTTGGATACCTAATCAAAAAGTCATAACTGATTATGGTTATCATTTAAACATTTTGGCTTTTGAAAATGAACAAAAAATTGATACAGAGGCAAATTTAGTTATTAATTTGTGGTCTTTCTAATTTTAAAAAGTAGTAAGAGTAGATATTAAAATTTGTAAACTAGCTTAACCTGAAATAGCATGATTGTCCTACCAATCTCAATGATTGCAGCCTAATGCTGCTGCACACTTATGTAAAAACAATCTTGTTCAACATTTTAAACATTTAACTTGTTCGTTACTGTTTTGGTAAATAAATATGTGCTTACTTTACTCTTATAATAATTAAGTTTCAAAAATCTGTGTACGTATGAATATTAGTTCTACTGATTTTAATGGGTATTTTGGAAAGCTCACTCGCTGTAAATTTGCATATGATTATGAAAGTTTGTTTTTGTTATGATTGATGTTGATAAATTAAAATTACATGTTTTCCATAAGAAATAAAGCATATTAAAAAACGGGCCTTTTCAATTTTTTTTTTTTTTTTTTGAGGCAACATTTGACTGCCTTTTTGAGTATTTTCAAGAAACAAATAGTCTCAATTTGTAGGAAATTTCATCCTCTTTCAAAATATTACCATTCACTTTCGTAGGTTTTCTCACCATTTAAAAGTTATTTGCAAAAAAGCTAAACAACCTCCGAATTTATATATTTCATGATCTCATATGAGCAACAACTAGGTACAAGTTTTAGGGCTTGACAATGCCACTTAAATTATGACGAAACCAGTCGGCATCATGAAAACCAAGGATTGCTTTGGCTTCATAGAATGATAGTATTCCCTTTATTTTTTCAGGTATTATCTCAAACTGTCAGCAATCATCATCCAATATTGCATGCTGGAAAACATCATTGGTCTAAATGATATATTGAATAAAATTTGTTTGAAAATAACTGTATGTGTTCTTTCTTATACATCCCATAGAGGGCCTAGTATTCTAGCAAATTTCCCATATTACCGTAGTTATAGCTATTACCGTAAGTCTTATGGCATGATCTGAATCCGAGACCGATTTACTTTTTTGTTAGTTGTCCCCAGAGGCCAAAAACGACATTCATACAAACTCATAAATATGCCCTGGCGTTTATATTTTTGTATATAAGTCAGTTAGCACAACCCGAGTAAAAATAATTTTTATAAAATTTAGTACAAATGTGTAGATCTACGTTTAAAAGAGTTTGCAACCAGCATAATTGGATACTCCAAGTGGAGTTTACAATAATGAGTAAACAGCGACGTTTGCTTGATTTTTGATCTAGTACCAGGAAACCGAGCCGAGCTCGGATTGAATTAAACATTGAATTTATTAAATAAGAAAATTACCTTAATTATAATTATCACATAATCAAAAACAAAGAAACATAATCAACAATAACATAATAAACATAATCAAATTATAAAGATTTATTATGTACGGTAATCAGTGAACACGTTTTAGATGATACAAAGTAATAGCTATTTACATTACAAGTGTAGTAAGAGCATGTTTACATCACTTACGTAAATTATGCAACTCTCTTCTGCTTGACGCTTGTTGCACACATACACCTGCGTGATGTGAAAACGCTCTTACTACACTTGTGAGGTAAATAGCTATAATACTCCTTTATAAATAAATAGATTGCAATAAAAATAACCTTTATCAGCTGTTTTTTTTTTCAACTGTGACCACAAAAAGGCATTCGACGTTAGTATGGGCACTTTCAAGGGCTGTAGGGCGGAAACTGGAGTTTTTCCAGCCTTGTGACCAACTCCAATTGCTTTCTCGTGGCCAAATACACCATATTAAACAAAAAAATTAAAAATCCTTGGACGAAAATGAAAGTTTATTTGTACATACGCTTGTATTAGCGTGGATTTGGTCAAATTTATTTATTTCATACTAAACTTTTATATTTTACCAAAGATTACATATGCTCCAACTAAAGAAAAAATCTTATTATATTTACTATTTTGAATTTGGGATTGCGTACATGTTACAGTGGAAAAAAGTGAGAAAGCCTAAGCAAATGTTTATATATATTTACCAAAAAAGAAAAATTATTGACATAGTACTGTATTTTTTGAGCAATCATTGAAAGGACTGATTTGTAAACTATGTACACCCAGGAAAGTCTTAGAACGCCACCCACCAAGTAGAAGAAATAGAGTTGATGTTCTTAAAGGGTTTATTCTCCCTATTAGCCTATATACCTAATGAAGAACCTACAAGATTCCTACCAACACTGCGAACGAGGAGAGGATGTTAGCCGGAGTCCTACCGTTTTTAGGGGGTGGCGGAATTGTACCCCCCGCAGGTTAGTGACATCACAATGACGTCTCATTTTCTCAACCAAAACAGTGTGTACGGGAATTGTACCCCCCCTCATAAAACTTTTATATTGTTATGCACGAGTGGTTTGATTAAATCCACTGGTATCTAAAAAACTGTACAGGCCGGAGTTTTACCCACCCAGTAAGAACTAACGTTTATTAGGTCAGTGTACGGGGTGGAATTGTACCTCCTGTCAGTCTAGTCCTTCTTCTAAGACCGGAATCGTAACCCCTGGTGACAGCAGAAGATGTACGCCCTGGAAGTGTACCCCCCTGGATTTGTACCCTCCCTCCATTTGACTGTGATTAATAAATAAGTGTGTGGCATCGAAAATAAATTATAATATAATATGCGTTAAAATCCAAGCTTAGAATAGACTTGAAAACGCAAAACCTTTATTAATTTGACCACTTGGACTTTTATATAATGTACTAACAATATTTTATATTGTAATAATTTTTGTCTTTTGTTTGCTTTTATTAAAACTTATAATAAAATTTCTCACTTAACGTTTGATTTTAAGCTTTCTCACTGCGTACGGAGTAAGTGTAGAGCTGAATTTATATTGTAAAAATTATCTAAAAAGCTGCTTTACGGTAATCATTAAAAAATTCAATAATTAATTATTACCATAAAATAAAATAGACTCCATATTTAGTATTAATCGTACCAACAATATACTACATTGGTGAGAGACACAGGCAAAACACCATTCATTGGATTCGTAACATTGTATTATTTATTGTTATATTTTTATCTATTAGATTGTATAACATTAAAAAGGCCTACTTACGATGTTTGGAAATTGACTTCAGGCTTTGTCTTGTGCAAATTTTCGAAGGTTAAAGGTGAGTAAAAGTTAATTTTTATGAACAGGTTTTAAGTTATTGGATAACAGAATTATAAAACAAACTAGGAAATAATGTAAACCGGCTTTTCATGGTTTAAGAAAATGAATAAAATATCCATATGATCCGGGGCGAAGTAAAGTGGTAAAGCCAAATGTTTGGACAATCTCTTTGCAATCATTTCCTTAGTACAACCACTATTTTCTGTACAGGATTAGAAACCAAACATATGTCACTTTAGATTTAGAGAGCATTTGATACTATTTCATTTTAATAATACCAATTAAGTTTATTGAAAGATGTTTGAAGATGTAATTACAACAGGGGGGGGTACAACTCCAACCCGTACACAAGCCAAGCTACCTGTCCAAGAGGGGGGCAAAATTCCGGGGGGTACAATTCCATCCCGTACAGAAATAATTTTATGTTGAATTCTAGGGGAGTACAATTCCGGGTCGTACATCTCCTGCTCTTTTAGTGAATTTCCTGTGCTTGTGATATAAATTAGTCATCAGCTGTTTGATATTGTGAACATTTTTATTTGTTTATCTTTGGATGATTTTTATTGATTCTTGTAGTCATGGAGAAATCAATATTTACCAGAGTTGGATTGTTCTGATGTGTAAAAAAATGTTAGTTTGTTAAAGCATTAAATATCTTAATTATTTTTTTAATTTGCATGTTGATTTAATTACAAGCTATTTCGGCATAATGTCAGGTACTGGTGTTAAGTTCTCAGACTTGATTAAGCAGTATGATGGAAGTGGTGATTTTAGTGAGTGGTTAAAGAAACTAGAATTGGTATGTAAGCTCCAAAAGGTGAAAGACTTGCAGACAGTTCTCCCCCTATTTTTGGCTGGAGGAGCATTTTCTGTATATGACGGGCTAGCAGAAAATGTAAAGAGTAACTATGAGGCTCTCACCAATGCATTGCTGCAGGCCTTTTCTGCGAACTGTTTTCAGGCTTATGCAGAATTTACAGCTAGGCGTCTACTTCCCGGTGAGTCACTAGATGTATATGCTTCTGATTTGAAGAGATTGGCAAAATTGGTGGACCCTTTTGTATCTGATGAGTGGATTAAGAGCGCAGTTGTACATGGCTTGCCAGAAGATACTCAAACCCAGTTGAAGCTGCGTGTTCTCTTCAAAGCATGGAGTTGTCGGATGTAATGACAAGAGCTAGGAATCTGTTGGGCAGTGAGTCAAACTTTGGGGCGGTTGCACAGGCTAATGCCAAAGTTTTCAAAGTTGGTAAACAGTGGTCTAAAAAATGCTTTGTTTGTGAGAGGGAAGGCCACGTAGCACGTTCGTGTCCCCATCTAAATCGTGAGTCAAAAGTAACCTGTTACCGGTGTGGGGAGGTAGGACATTATGCCTCAAAATGTTCACAAATTCCAAAAAACGAGTGAATGGGGCTGCCTTATGTTGCGCGGGTGGCCCAATTTCTTCAGCGCAACTCCCTACATTAACAATAAGTGTGTCGGGTTTTAAATGCTGTGCCTTGCTGGACTCAGGTTGTTCAAGGAGCATTGTGTCACCTAGTTTAGTGAAATATGGAGTAGAACTGAAGCCAGTAAGTCAAAGGATTATAATGATGAATGGAGAATCAGTTGAGTGTAACATGACATGTATGTTACAAGTTTTGATAAGAGGTGTTCCGCTCAAACTGAGTTGCTTGGTTGCCAGTGTATTGCCAAGGTATCAGATGCTTCTAGGGATGGATGCAGTGACTGCAATGGGAGGTGTCACTATTGATGGAGATGGCACTATTACGTTCAGGGACGTTGATATCGGAGCGATGGCTGAGGCCAAGAAGGAGTTGTGCGTGAAGGAAACCTCGGAGAATGGCAACGATGAGATCGCTATTAATGATTGTGACTTTAATGCGAAATTTGTTGATGGAAAATGGACCGTTGAATGGAATTGGAAAGATGGCGGTAAAACACCTAAGATAAATAACCAAGTACCTTCATACTCAATTTCAAAAGAGGCAAGGGAGGCGTTTGACGCTGAAGTGCATGATTGGATAAGAGACGGTTGGCTCCAGCCTTATGACGGGGAGTTTGATGGCTTAATTCCTTTAATGGCGGTCGTGCAACATAACAAGGACAAAGTGCGACCTGTAATGGATTACAGGGAATTAAATCAGTATGTTTCAAGCCATACAGCAGAAAGTGAGGTTTGTGGGGAAAAGCTAAGGATGTGGAGAAAGCTAGGAGAACATGTGAGCACTATCGACCTTCGTAAGGCATATCTCCAAATCCATATTGCTCCTCATTTATGGAAATTCCAAGTGGTCCGATTTAAGGATAAGAATTATTGTCTAACACGACTCGGGTTTGGTCTAAATGTCGCACCGAAAATAATGAGCAAAATTGTTAATAAAGTTCTGTCAATGGACCCAATAGTCCGAAGTGCTACGGACTCTTATGTTGACGACATAGTGGTGAATGAGAACATTGTTGGCGGTGATGTAGTAAAGAAGTTGTTGGAAAAATATGGGCTGTCAGCGAAACCAGTGGAGCCACTTGATGGAAGTAGGGTTTTGGGGCTTAACGTCTCAAAAAGAGATGGCAAGTTGATGTGGACCAGAGACAACAAGATAAAAGCTTTGGATAAAATTGAGACCAAGAGGGATGTGTACTCCTTGTGTGGGCAGTTAATCGGACATTTCCCGGTGGCTGGTTGGCTTCGACCAGCATGCAGTTTTCTTAAGCGTCTCAAAAAGAGATGGCAAGTTGATGTGGACCAGAGACAACAAGATAAAAGCTTTGGATAAAATTGAGACCAAGAGGGATGTGTACTCCTTGTGTGGGCAGTTAATCGGACATTTCCCGGTGGCTGGTTGGCTTCGACCAGCATGCAGTTTTCTTAAGAGGCAATTGACAGATTTGAAATGGGACGATGTGGTGGGCAACCGAATTAAGATAATGTTAGGAGATATAATGGAAAGCGTAAAAGAAAAGGATCCTGTGTTTGGAAAATGGGCAGTGTCATCTAGTGACAAAGGAACTGTGTGGTGTGATGCTAGCAGCTTGGCGATCGGTATTTGCATTGAAATTGATGGTGAAATAGTTGAGGACGCGTCTTGGCTAAGGAAAGAAGATGATTCGGCGCATATTAACTTAGCTGAGTTAGAGGCTTTGTTGAAAGGAGTGAACTTAGCTTTGAAATGGAATTTGAAGGAGTTATACTTGGTCACAGATTCGGCCACCGTTTATGCTTGGGTAACATCCATATTAACAGGAGACCGACGTATTAAAACACATGGGATGGGTGAAGCTCTTGTAAGAAGACGGTTGGGTTTGTTAAAAGACCTCATATCAGAATGTGGCCTTAAGGTGAGGATGGATCTGGTTAAATCGCAATTTAACAAAGCAGATCGCCTGACGAGAGTTCCTAAAAAGTGGTTGGCAAGAGAGGAGGAAAAGACCAGTATTGCAATGATGGGTGAAGAAGAGGAGGAAAAGACCAGTATTGCAATGATGGGTGAAGAAGAGGATGAGGATAAACAAAAGTTGGTCAAAAGAATCCATGGTCTGCATCACTTTGGTGTTAATCGAACTCTTTTCACAGTTAGGCGTTGTTACCCAGCCGTTGAGTTTAGTAAACAGGACGTTGACTGCGTAGTCAAATCATGCAAAGAATGTTTATCTGTTGATCCATCCCCCATCAAATGGAAGCCGGGGCACTTGGATTGCGACAAGAATTGGCACAGGCTTGCGATTGATGTGACTCATTATGGGTCATATAAATTTCTTACAATTATAGATTGTGGTCCAAGTCGGTTTTGCATTTGGCGACGGATCCCAAGTGAGACTAAAGAACAGGTAGTAAAAATCTTACTTGAACTGTTTTCAGAACGAGGTCCACCCCAAGAACTATTAATGGACAATAGTGCAACATTCAGATGTGAACAAATTGAACAACTGTGTGAGGAATGGGGGGTTATCCGTCGTTTTAGGTGTGTGAACCGTCCGTCCGGCAATGGAATCGTTGAACGAAACCATAGAACAATAAAGAGAATGGCAACAAGAACCAGAAGAAGTGTTCAAGAAATGGTATATTGGTATAATCTAACACCAAAAGAAGATTTGAATGAAGAGTCGACACCAAGCTCTAGATTGTTCTGCTACAGGTGGAGGTGTAAGGGCGAACCTGTAAATTGTGACGAGCAACTAAGAACTGAGTTTTCACCTGATGAACCTGTGTTTGTCAAGCCTAAAAATTCCTTATGTACTACGAGATGGAAGCCTGGTGTGGTCTCACGGCAGCTCTCACAAACCAGCGTAGAGGTTGATGGTATGCCACACCATATTGCTGATGTCCGTCGTGCTGGTGTTGACACCACGGGGGCGTGTGCTTGTGATATAAATTAGTCATCAGCTGTTTGATATTGTGAACATTTTTATTTGTTTATCTTTGGATGATTTTTATTGATTCTTGTAGTCATGGAGAAATCAATATTTACCAGAGTTGGATTGTTCTGATGTGTAAAAAAATGTTAGTTTGTTAAAGCATTAAATATCTTAATTATTTTTTTAATTTGCATGTTGATTTAATTACATTTCCCAAATAGGAAATAAACTATTACCGTAGGTCTCGTGGTAAGACTCGGGACCGATTATGTGTGGGATTTATGTTGTGTTTATTACCAGAAAAAGCTAAGCTGAAGTCGGTTCATAATTTAGGCGGGTTAAGGGGATGGTTTCCTGGGTTACCCCTCCACTTTTTTTAGCTCAATTCATAAATCAGCTGTTGGCTGTTGTTTCAAATTTAGGGTAAGATGGATGGGGTGGAATTTTTTTCCGCTTTCATTCAAACCGCCTAAATTTTGTGAAAAGAGTAACGAGAATTACATTCCACATTAAGGTCACAGCAATTAATTGCAGAACACATGTTGCTTTCTACGGCTAATTGTTAAAACTACGAGGATAATAGATGATAACTCCTGACCAGTTTTACAGTTCATTTTTCTACTTTACGTCTAACTATGAAAACTCTCCTAGTTTTTCTTCTTCTTTCCATTAATGTCGCCTTCGCTTGTGATTCTGATGGAGGCTTTTGGGCATGGCTTGACCGCTATTTTTTCTGGCTCAACCCGTTCTGGTGGTCAAGTTCTTTGAAAGATAGTAATCCTGGAACAGTAAGTGATTTTAAACCATTCTTGGCATTCTTACCCACTTTTCACCACATAATTTAAAATATGTGATGATGAATTTGTAAATTCTTACTTTTCTAAATTGATTTTTTACTTGGTAAAATTTCATGAACAACCAGCTTGCAGTAAAATTTTCAATTGCAAAATGGTTTTTTCCTCTCTAGTGTATACGCCAGTGGCATTTTTGTATGAATTAAAGTCAGACGTTTTGAAGGGAAAGTGGTCCAAACCCATTAAATGTTTAGTGAACAGCCAGGAATTGAGCACGTCCCCTCCCGCACCTAAGTCCGAGATGCTAACCACTAGCTAGCTCCTCCAATTTTGTGTTTGGAGCATGGAATGAAATTATGCGTACAAGTTTACAATAAATTTAATAAATTAATTCTTTCACAAGTCTTTGAGTGTTTATAACTAAGAAACTCATACAAATTTACCAAGCGTTACTCTTATGATATGGAATAATTTGTACCCTAGTAGCACAAATATGTATTTTATAAATATTTTATATATTTAAAGTTGTATTTGATAGAACCTCGAATAAAATATATATATAATATGTCTTTAATAATAGTTTGATATATTCAAATATATATTTAAAATATTACCAAAAAGGAATGCAAAATATAAATTAAATATAAGTTTTGAATATATAAAATAGATTCATAATATATATTGATAAAACAAGTATAGAATCTATAATATACATATTTTATATGTATATTTTTCCTAAATTAAATTATTTATAAATATATTTTGAAACACGTCAGATATTTTTATTAATAAAATAATATTATATTTGTAGAATATATAGCCTATAATCTTTTATAATTAGCAAATAAATAATTTGCATCTTTTTGTTTTTTATAGTGTCTATCAATTTACACATGCATTTTTTGTATGATAATTGCCATTGTGAAAGCGTTAAAATTAAGTTAATAATAATACGTAGGTACTCTGAATGGTGTCACTCTATCATACACGTAAAGAAAAAATAGCATATAATTAAGAGGCAGTATACATGTTAGACAGCTACATTTGGGTCAAACGAAAAAAAGTGTTGATGGGTTTTATTTTTTTAATTGCAATATGTGACAATGAATGTGATCATAGAAATCTCGAATGATTGGCTAGAAAAGGGTGCTAGTGACTGGCGACCTTTTAAGAAACTAATTACGGTTGTATATGACGTTCTAAAAATAATTATTTGATTTACATATGCCATAAATTACATAATATTTGTCTTAGTATTTAAATTAATTTTTGTAGTTTACTGTATTTGTATTCGTGGAGACTACTCACTATTCACTACAGCACTATTCAACTCAACTACTTGATGCCAAAACAGATTAACAGAATCATATTATACTGTAGTATCAAAAATATTTCTAGTATTGCAATCATTGCTACTGAGGGCCACTCTTTCACCATTTGAAAACTAACTAATGCTAACAACAGTCACAAGTAGCTCAGAGGTAAGGTAGGAAAGTCGAAGGACCCAGGTTCGAGACCCACCCGGGCTGAAAAAATTTTATCCAGTAATTTTTTTCAAAATTTGTTTTTATGAACTATTTAATCAATTTACTCAACTGATAATTGTGTTTTTCATGCTAAATCTTTATTATTTTGTGTTTTTATGTTTAGGCCCCATGGGATGTTTGGAAGAGATATTAAATACATTTTTTATTTAAATATTATTCACTAAAATATAATATTGGAACATATTTTTTAAATATTTAATAGATTCAAAAACATATTTTTTATATATTTAATATATTTTAAATATTATATAAAACTAGCTGACCCGGCGAACTTCGTATCGCCTAAGTTATAGGTTTCCCCTAAGACAGACCGATGGAAAGAAAGTACCGTTACGTTTAATTTTCAAGATGATCTCGTTCGCATCGCTTAATCACGTCCTGGTTGAAGTTCGTTCGCTACGCTCACTCACCTTTGGGTTGGAGCTCGTTCGCTGCGCTCACTTGCCTTTAGGTTGGAGCTCGTTCGCTACGCTAACTCGCCTCCAGGTTAGCTCGTTCGCTACGCTCACTCGCCTCCAGGTTAAAGTTCGTTCGCTACGCTCACTCACCTTTTGGTTGCAAATTAGCTGTTGTCATAAATGTAAAAGAAATAATAGTGCTGCACCCTGTTGGTAATCCTTGTAACTTTAATGCTATTGAACATCATAGAACAGAACCAACTTGTTTAATTGAAACAGCTGTTAAGATTCATTAATTCCATTTCTCATAAGGTTAACATGGGAAACTCCAGAGCCACTGGGGCGGAGCCCTTTTAAGAATTTCGAAACGGGAAATAGTTTACGTCCGATTCGCATACCTACAGAATTTACACACCAAATTTCATAACGATCGGTGAAGTCGTTCCGGAGGAGTTTGCAGACAAACACTGTGACACGAGAATTTTATATATTAGATTGACATTAATACACACTTGAGATGTATAAAATAGATTTTAAATATATTTATTCATATGTATTTAATATATATTTGTGCTACTAGGGTAACTTCACAACTATTAGCTTGTTGTAATGTTTTTGGATGAATGTAGCCAATACAAAAACTTTTTATATTGGCTACATTCATCCAAAAACATTTGACAAAAACAGCATGAAAAAATTTGAATCTTATTAACATGTCACTATCACATATACATTGCTAAACATCAGCAATTAATTGTATATATTTCTTTGATAAATAGATTCAAATAAATTGAATATCGTACACAGTACAGGAAAAACATTTTTAGACCAAACGTAAAAAAAACCAATACAAAACGTTAAAAAAAAGTTATAGCGTTATATTTGTAGCTTCAATCTTAATTAGACTAATGGACATTTTGCTATAATTAGTGTGAGAAATGATTTAATTTATTTTAGTTCCTGTTTAATAAGTGTTACATGGACTTAATTTGAACGTACATTGATTTGTCCACAAACAAGTTTTCATCTATTTTTATCTCCCTGCGACTAATGGTTTTTTGTTTTATTCTCTTGTCCTAAGACGCTAGGCACGAGCCTGGGATTGTTTTTCACATTACTTCAGGCTAGACTTAGGGGTTGCGGCATTATCACTTAGATATAATCCATTGGTGATTTGGCGGGATTTGAACCCGGGACCTCAGGGACTTCAGCTCGCTCACCCTTGTACACAACAATGACAATTGGAATTGGATGGAAATAAATACTTTCAATAGCGAACAAATCTAAATTAAAGTGAAAAGTAATGAAGATAATTGCTGATCTGTAGAATGTCATAAGAAAGTGTAGGCACCAAACAGGCAATAATTTGTGGCATCTAGATTCACTCTGTTGTTTACGTTTTGAGAGGCGTAAGATGAAGTGCTATTTATACAATCCGGACATGAAATTTAAAAAGATTTATTTAATAGATCAAAATTGACTGTAGCAATATATAAAGAAAGAAAAGTGTCACACAGCTATAAAACTATTTCACCTATACAGGTGGCAATAAAACTGTTGTTTTGTAAAGTGATTTCAGAAAAATTGGATTGTAGACTATCACATCCTCATATATAATACATGAAGGCGTTTTCTACAAAACACTAATCCTCCGTTAATAATGAACGGATTTTTACAAATGGTGTGTCAAAATTAAGTATTTTTTGTGTAGACCAATTCTTTCACCAATTCCTGTCATAAGTCCTCAGGCTTTGACCCACAGGCCATCAAAATCCCAATGTATTTCTTATGATGAAAAGATTGTGTTTACTTAAATAGACGAATAATTTGTATTAGTTACAGCTGTTCATAGTAAACACACAAGAGCGTTCGTTTTCAGAGTGAGTTCGTTTTCAGTTTCAATAACTGGAGTGGAGTGATTGATTACATTATCTTTGAGTTGACTCTTTTAGGTCATAGGAAATTATGACTGTTAGTTGTTTTGAAATAATGCCTGTAATACTTTGCAATTTTGCTTGAATTCAAGCAACAGGTGCACTAGTAAAAAATATTGCTTGTAACTGTTAAAAATCATGACCTATTTTTGAAACAAATTCACAGCTGTTTTGTATGATTTTGAGATTTAAGCAAGATAATGTTGTGCAAAAAATGGTTTGCACTCATTAGAATATTAACGAAATAATTGTATATTTATTAATATTGATCATTTATTGTTTTTCCAGTCGGGGAATGGCTTGCAGTCGGAAATAATGGCTTCTGAGATAGGAAATGTGTCTTAAGTTTAAGTCATTGGTCCAGCATGCATGATCTGCGTAGGCCTTCTCCAAAACTGTAGGACTACTTCAAATATTGCATATCTTTTAAAAACTGAACCAATAAAATTATTGGACATATGCTTAAATAAATTATTACCCTACATTAGAGTATAAGTACCCTACCGAATAGTTTAAGACTTTATTTAATATGTTCGCTACCAATCGGGGCATTTTATATGCACTGGTAGGGCGATAAAAATAAACTATGACACAAATATTGAACGTTGATAGATAGGAGGTAGTAAATAGGTCAGTAACTCAGACCAGAAAAAAAAAAAAAAAACCTGTTAGAAACAATTGATATATGTACAATATTCTTGCTTCCAACACTGTTAACTTACTTCTACCATAGACAATTAGTCTATGCTTCTACACACAAGTCAAACAAATATAGTGTAAATATGCTTAGCGTAGAAAAGTTTAACAAAACTAATATGATATATCAAAATCATAAAAATTGTATGTGTTTCACAATAGTGAAAGTGGGTCAAAGCAAGCAAATTAACATGTTAAAATATATATTGTAAAAATATCTTTCACAAATTTTCTGCCCTATCCAAAAATAATTTTGGGTTCAATTTTATCGAGAAAGTAAAAACTGTTTTGTAATAGTTCTCTGTAGAAGGTAGGAATAATCAATTAAAGGTTACAATAATTCCAATTCCAGGTTCTAGTCCAATCATTGTCAAACCATTACCTTTTTTTGCCGTCTTGTTATTGTTAAGTTTCCTTTCATAGTTTATATTTGCACTGTTAAATTTTTAATTCATATTCGATAACCTTTCATCTTGATTCATGTTCCTCTCAACGTTGTTACATTCACCATAATAGCACTTAGTCATAATTAATTATTGTCACACTCTCATTGTTCATACCTGTTATTGTTAAGTGTTTATATTTTATTGCACTGTTAAATCTTCAAATTTTTGATGTTTTTCTTTTTGATCCTGAATTTAGTGAAACAGGCTGATAATGTTAGTTCAATTTCAAGATCATATTGCATGTTTATTTTTTTTCTTGTTTGCCAATGTTGTATGTTCATAGTATATATATATATTTGTCATATTTCATTACTCAGTTGCGAATCATTAGTGTTTAGCATGTATTCATAATATAAAAGGCAAAGCCCTCACTGACTCACTCACTCACTCACTCATCACTAATTCTCCCACTTCCCATTTACCTAGGAGGCTGAAATTTGGTACACTGATTCTTTAGGCATTAAATAGGAAAACTAAGTGGTTTTTATTCTGATCGGGCTCTCGGGCCCCGCCCCAGTGGCTCTGGAGTTTCCCATGTTAACCTTATGAGTACTCATATTTAAATGGAATTAATGTATCTTAACAGCTGTTTCAATTAAACAAGTTGGTTCTGTTCTATGATGTGCAATAGCATTAAAGTTACAAGGATTACCAACAGGGTTCAGCACTATTATTCTTTTTTAAATTTATGACAACAGCTAATTTGCAACCAAAAGGTGAGTGAGCGTAGCGAACGAACTTCAACCCGGAGGCGAGTTAGCGTAGCGAACGAGCTAACCTGAAGGCAAGTGAGCGCAGCGAACGAGCTCCAACCTAAAGGTGAGTGAGCGTAGCGAACAAACTTCAACCAGGACGTGATTGAGCCATGCGAACGAGCTCACTTATGAAGTAAAACGGGGCAAAGCCCGCGGGTACAGCTAGTGTATTCATAAAGCATGACCAAAAAGCAAGATGTAAAACTTACTGCATGTTAATAGTATTAATTAATCCACAAATTGTTATGCATGTAATTGATTGTAAAAATGGCGATTTTGCCGTAAACAAATAAATAAAATAAAAATAAAAAAAAATAAATCCATCTTGCGCTCCAGTATGATACCCAGTAGATTACGATTTTACAGGATAACACAGCAGATCAAATTATGTAGCTTTTTATTTAATAAAAGTAGCTTGAGTTAACACAAGGTTACATCTGATACAATAAATATAATGGCAAAAGGCACAACCAATATATTTTATTTATGAACATAAAAATGTACAGAACGTGTATAATACAAAGCAAATAATTTACAAAGCTTTGTGATCGTAGGAGTGGCAGTCTTGAGGTAACAATAATATACAAGTGAACATTTTAAAATCAGCTAGCTTAAAATCACAGGTAAACCAACACGATAACATTAGTAAAATATAAACAAACACACACAAACAATAACACTGCCATTTTAAGAGTTAAAAGTTACAAATTTTATTCATAAAGCACCCAAGTTGTGGTAGAAAGATATTTTTAAATCTTAAGGAAACAGCTTACTGGATATTTTTAGTGTATAGTATAAACTGTACAATTTGATTAAAAAGTGATAACAACAAGTTCATGTAAAATGAATAAAATAACAATAATGGTAACAAACGTTCAGCATCATAGATAACATAATTCACACTTACATTATGATTGGAATGTATCATACAAATCTTGAAAGATTTTAAATATATTTTATAGGCACATCACAAAATAAAAAGGTTTATCAATAAAATAGTTTTAGTATAAGCTGAAAAAATGATACAACATAATCCACAGTAATAGAAAATAAAATACTTCTTAACAAATATGAAACTAGGACAGAGTATTGGAAAGATGACTTTATACTAACATGGCATCCATAAGAGGATATGATTATATATTTATAATATAAAAACACTTCAGAGTATTCATGTTCTTAAAAACCAAACATCCTTGAGAAACGTACAAGTTTTGCACTATGAAATTAACTAAGTTAGCCTCAATTCATTGTCTATTTATATCATGAATTATGTACAGGAATTTCAATCATTATCTTACTCTAAAACTTATTATTTAAGATGAAACCCAACATTTTGACAATCAATGCCATTTGGAGATCCTACAAAATAACTAACATCTAAACGATAACAAGAGATTAATTATTAAAAGTTTATGAACTAAATTTGTGTAGGAGCAAGTTACACATTTTAATCGATTGCTTCTAAACCCTTACCACTCTCATCTCGCCGCGAGCCGACATCTGCCGTTTCCCAATCGTATCACATGTCGGCTTAAAAAAATGAATAAAAAAATTAAAATTGTTTTTTGAAATTTTACTATTTATTTTTTACTATTAGTGTGGAAGTTAAAATACTGGTAGGATTAATGACCTGCATAATAAATTAAACCTAGGGCATAGACCCTTAATATGAGAGTGGTAAGGGCTTACAAAATTAATTTTAAAATTTAAAGGGCTGTCAGGTTGTTAGGGAATATATAATTGTCAATTTTCTTTTCTCAGAATGAACAAAATAATAAAATTCAAGAGATTATAAAAGACAAAATAGGATATTTTAAGTTTTTTGCACTCACATGTAATATATAAAAAAATACATGAGGACTAGTATTAAAACTCTAACACCTAAAGAGTAAAAAATTAGCTGTGTTTAGAACCTTTTGATGGAGAGCTATTTTGAACAGTTTGATTGTATAACCAATCTAGTACAAGGATCCACTATTCAAGTTTTACTGTAGGATAGAAAACAGTTTGACTGGCTGCTACCAACTTTTTATCATTAGTTGGAGAATCAACTATTATGTAATTGTGTTGTGATTAAGTTATAGGAAAATCATAAAGAAACTTAACCTAAACTAAACATATTACTTATAAAGTTTGAGAGTGGTTTAAATACCTTTTGAGGGTTCTCCTTAATATATTGTAGGGGAATTTCCTTTTAACCTGGGTTTCCCTACATTAAAATCAGTTGGAAAACGTAAAGTAGGAAACAAAAATCCCTTTGTACAATATTGATAAATTCAATACTTACATGTTCAATATTAGCAATCCGACAGCCCGGAATGCTTCACAATTGCACTAATCGAAATGCTGGAATGCGGTAAAATTTTATATCACAGTCATGTTTGAAACATAGGAATTAGCTTGGTATTAACTTGATTTAAGCGCTAGAGTTATTAAATAGAGAACTATTAGGCACAACCATTCCAATGAGTTGTTGGAAGTCAATCTCCCACCTCGTCCGCAAAGCTTGATGTCTTCCTCCTGGGAAAAAGAAAGATCAATTTTAAAATGTTACCTGGATTTATTACTTATAAAAATATTTTTCTTTTGCTAAAGTGAAAACAGCTGTATTATTACATTTTACGCAGGACTCAAAATGTTTTTTAACTAGGGTACAAAAAGTCCCTTTTCTATAGAAGCTCAAGTTTAACGAGGCAAAGCCGAGGTTTGATAATAAGCGAGAGTCAAAAAGACACTTCTGGTCGGTGTAATTAATAACTATATATTTTGTCATAAATACTTACTGCCATTATCTAACCAACTAAATCACTAAACCGTTGTAGGGTTTTACACTTTAACTTCATAAATTAGCTCCCATATTTATTTTTGTCTTGTTTTGTTGTCTTATATAACAAGTTGTTACCCCTATCTAGAAGCAAAATGTATTCTTCGGCCAACACATTTAAAAAAAATTTTCAAATTTATAAAATTTGGCTTAATATCAAAGAGTGATGATGAATGTTTTTCATTGATATTCAGTGCACAACAAAACGTTGAGATTATTAGAAGGATGTAAAACTTGTTATAGTCGATAACATTATATATATTGATGTGATTATTTAACGAATGAAAGATTTTATCAATGAACTATCCATTCAGTACAGTAGTTAATGTAAAACATACAATGTGTCACAATAAAAAAAACATTTTTATAACAATGCAATAACATTTTAACACCTGTGATTATTTTCTTTAACAAAAATTGCATACAAGTTTGGAAGTCAGAAAAATGAACAGCTGATGTCCTCGAATCCAGCTGGAAATTTTTTTCTTTAGGGAGAAAAACAGATACTTTAAACCGGCAACATATTTTTGAAAACAGCGGTTTTTGCTGCAGTATGACAACCGTTTTTTTTTTTCTTAAGGTAAAAAGCAGTCCTCGATTTGCAAAAAAATGAGGTTCAAGAAATGAAACTTATTTTACGCCACACTACAATCTTTTAACGAACTTCCCACGCAAGGATTTAGTCTAAAAAACAGCTGCAGCCAGCTTAATAAAATGGTGTTTTATTACGTATTATTGTACTCTAACTGATTATATTTGGCAATGAGTGGTTATAAACAAAAACATAACCTTTCTTATTGGTTATGAGTAGTTATTGTTGTTCCTTTAGTCGGTGAGTATATATAAGGATGTTTTAATGTTAAGTTAGCTTAGAGTAGTTTGGCGTAAAATATCGTAAGTCACTCGTCCAAAATGTGTTTACCAGACTCGTATGGTAGTCCCGCGCTCGACTTCGTTTCGCACGGGAACGACCACATTCGTAATGTAAACACCTATTTTCAGGACTATAAATGTAATATACTATAATGTGATTAGTACCTATTTATGTCAATATTTTTATCTTTTCAATAGTACCGGAATGCCGATCTGCCGCATTCCAGCACAAATCGAGCACTGGTAAAAAGTATCAGCTGGCGTTAAAGTTGACATCAGCTCTACAACTTTTTCATTGCTTTTCACTTTGGCGTCTTAAAATTTGTAGAATTTTGTATTACACCAATATTTTTCAAATTTGTAGTTGATTTTTCATTGTCGTCGAGTATCCAACATATTCATAATTATAGTCAATCTACTATTCACTAGCTCGATCGTAACACACCACATGTTTAAATACTTCAGTAACAACTGTTCTTTTTTAATAGTTGAACAAGAGGGAAGCCATTTTGGAAGCTCACTTATAAAGGTCAATAAATAACTTGTACAATTTTCTTTTCTGACTTGGTTAGCAAAAGGAATAGTTAATTAAAACCAAAAAAAAATTGTTCAATTTGGGACGAAAGTGACATTTTTACATGGTAATTTTTATCTGTCAAACTTGTGAGTCAACTAAGGATCACTTTAGGCCTTGGAGGTTAAATAAACTGTTTCATTGTAATAGTACTGTACCAGGAGACCAAGCTTTGCTCAGATTGAATTAAACATTAAATTTATTAGATAAGTTATTTAGCTAAATATACGGTAATCAAAATGAACACATTTTTTATAATTCAAAGAAAACATTTTATTTTAATTCACCATTATTACCATTACGCCAGCAGAGTACCCGTCCTTTGTACGGGGTTGGCGTATAAGTATAAAATGCTTATTGCAGTTATACTTAGCTTTGCGTTTGGAATGGGAGAGGACACGGTTTAAGAAAATTTGATTATTTTAATTTACGGTATGCTATAATATAGCATATCTACCATAGCCATAATGTTCTACCACTATACCTAAACAATAAAAAAAGTAAATGTCTCATTGTATATCACAGCTTTTTGTTGCTAGTTGGTTCAAATTAGCTGTTCTCATAAATGCAAAAAATTAATAGTGCTGCACCCTATAAACCTTATAACTTTTTAATGCTATTTAATATCATAGAACCAACTTGTGTAGTTGAAACAGCTGACAAAATTCTTTCATCTATATAAATAAAATTTGAGTTTTGTCTATACATTGCTTAGAATCATAAATTTGTAGGTTATTTTTACGTTTTATACATTAAAGAAGCCGAAACAAGTCTCATCTAAATTTCTGTCTGTCTGTCTGTCTGTCTTTCTGTCTTTCTGTAACACTCAAGATGGCATTTTACGCAATCTTCTCCAGGAAAACGAGAATACCTATCAGATCCAAGTCATTTTAATGTATTCACTGGATTGGCGAGAGTGTCTTTAGCCATTAAAATATGACCTCACTACTTAGTAAATAAAATTACGGACGTTCAAAAATGCAGTTTTGTGCGATTTTTGTCAAGTTTTCACATAATGATCTATGAAATAACGAACAGCTGTTCGGATCAAGATTATTTTTTTCTAGCTGTCACTGATATGTTTACAAATGTTGTTTACAAATACCGCAACCATTTCCGATCACGTTTTGAAGGTAAATCCCATCCAAGTGACATTAAAAACGTTGTTTTACATAACGGATTTAATTAATCGCAAGTGGAATAATATAGTGTAACCGTAAATGAAATAATTAATAACTAGGCATCATCCAGGTCAGGAACCAGAGATTCTTTGTGTGTAAAATTGTTCTTGAATTTTGATAACCAGAAAGAAGACCTTGAATCAGTGTTGTATAGAGCTGGGAAACTTGAATTTATTAATGATCGTCGCCAATAGCTTACTAACAAGGATTCCACTTATTGACGGCGCTTCAATGGCGGTTGTGTAAAGTGCAAAGTAAAAAATCACAACTGCAGTAGGTGATTGTAACAGAGGTTTACGGTTTATAGATTATATGCTAAACTTGCTTTTCCGATGTGTCACTTTCTGTTCCTACTCACCGTATGATGCAATCGCCGGACCATACAGCCAATAGGCCCATAGCCCATCTCTTAGGTACTTACGCCTACCCAATTATTCATAACAACCTTTTCGACGACGATCCTTGATACCGGTAATTTTCCCTAGAATACACGGCCTCCCTAATTAAGAAATAAAATTACAAACGTCCAAAAACCCAGTGTTGTGTCATTTTTGTCACATTTCATTCTAATGTTAAAAGATATACGAATCATTGTTTAGAGAATAGGCCTACATAACCTATTAAATAACAAACAGTTGTTTGTATTAGGTTGTTTTTTTTTTTTCAAACTGACACCAATAATTTTACATTAAAAGTTGTTTACAAATAAAGCAATTAATGGGAAATAACTTTGATTGCCAATAACCTTCTACGAGAAAATCCAAAACCAAGAAATCAATAACTTTGGGTTTTGATGAACGCATTTAATTTGTCGGACGTAATTCTTAACTGTAAACGTTGGTTTTTGGTACTGGTTCTTTTCCTCAGAACCGTTGGTAGCAGCAAGAATCATTTTTACGTACCAACACATCACTGTAATTTACAAATTAGTTATCATTGGTGTTTACCTTATTTATACAGTCGTATTATAGCCATACTCAATTTAATTTATGTCTTAACTGTATAAGTTTTGCTTTTCTGTCTGGATTCAAAATTTTAGTTTATGCTAAGAAAATGATAACTCATTTAAGTAAAACCTTTGTTTAACAAACCATCATGAATTGTTTATGATTTACGTTGTTTGTGTATAAAGAGTTTGTGGCCTATTTTGGTAATTTGTATTATAAATTACCAATCTAAATTGTCTATAGTACTTCATTTCATATAGTAAGACGCCATTTCAACAGCATTTCGCTTCGGTCCAAGTAAATATATAGATTGGTATGATAAAATTTGATGACATTAATACAAATTTCAAATACTAATTTTATGTACTTTGTTATGCTTAAAACGTAGCAAATTCCCTAATTAAGTTCTGTATTTTTGTGAGTATGCGTCTGTTGGTAACGCATTTATGTCCTTATTTCTCAGTGTCACGAAAAGGACAAGAGCACCTTGATAATTAAAATGTCAACCCGAATAAAGTGTTAAATGGTGAGGTTGAGGTAGTACTTTAAATACTTTGAACCATTCTGGGAAGTAACTTTCAACTATAGGCCTACCTTAGGGCTATGCCTCATAGATCTAGGCCTATAAAGCTTTTTTAATTCAATCATTGGATTTAACATATGGACTAACACGATCCGGGTGACATTTAATTGTGAAGCATGCGTTTTGGCTTGAAACTGTCAGATACTGTATTTGCGAAGGTTTATATATATAATAGTTTTGCCAGCATATCTAAAAATATGCAAACCAACTGCTGTTCTTAATATAAGAAGATTACAACTGACTACTTTAAGATCCCCGTGCGTAGAACGGGCACACAGCTAGTTCCTTATATGAATACTCAGGTAATGTTAACATGGGAAACTCCAAAGCCAATGGGGTGGAGCCGGAAAGGATTTATGAGATAAGAATATGTCTATATGTTAATCGGGAATGTGAGCTATCACCATACCAATTTTCAGCCCACTCTGACCAGTAGATAATTCATGATAGAACTTCAAACAAACAAACAAACAAATAAACAAACAATCAAACAATCAAACACACAAACTTTCACATTTATAATATTGTATAAACTACCTCGTATCAGCTGTTTTTATTAACTGCAGCTACAAAAAGGTATTGACGATAACATGGCCACTTTCAAGGGCCGTAGGACGGAAACTGGATTTTCCCCAGGCTTGTGGCCAACTACAATCTATTTCTTGTTGCCATATACCCCATGGTATACAAAAAAATTGAAAATCCTTGTTCGAAAATAAAAGCTTGTATTACACACGCTTGTTTTAGATCCCCTGCCTGTAGAATTTGGGTGTATCAATATGATTATTGGGGCTTTAACGTTTTATAACTTTTATTACATTAAATTTACTAATTCACTATAAATGACACATAAAATGTCACCAGTGGGATTCGATCTGGATACCTCATGGATAATAGTCGAGTACGCTATCCACTACGCCACGAACCCAGATGAATTCACTTTGTATCATTGCGGTAATGGTATTCCCTCGAGAAAAGAGAGTGACATCACGCCCCCCACTCCTTTGCAAATAGGTTCTCATCGGTTCCTGACTAGCCCCCTGAGATGCTTCTTAAATATATCCAAGTAGAGATTTGGCCATACCTCGAAACCCCTCCACCTCTCTTGATCTCCTTTTACTTCCTCAGTTTTGTCTACTCTCTTCAAATCAGCCACGTCACACATGCTTCGCAGCGCGCGTTAGGAAGGCTGAGAGGGCTGTACAGGTTTAGAAGTCTGCTGCCAGAATCTGCAAAGCTGCGCCTCATGCAGTTCTGACAGTGTTTACATATTGTCTCCTTGCTTATGGAAACAGCATCTCTAGAGAAGACATGCATCGAATGCAAAAACTCATTTTTGGGCTCAAACGGTTTGAACATGTCTCTCCATTCAGAGCTGTAGCAGGGATGACAACAGAAGAAACTGTTAGCAGGATCATGACGTGCTGCATGGTGCACAAGGCTCTTGTCGTACAGGAGCCACAGTACCTTCTTGAGAGACTCTCCTTCTGGGAGGTCTCTCAACTCAATACCCGCCATGGAAGTCTCCAGCTTCACTTTCCAATAGTGAGGCTTGAGTTTGGAATGAGAAGCTTTTGGTACTTCGGCCCAAAGCTGTACAACGACCTCCCCTCTGGCCTAAACAAATATGCCTTGCTATCTTTTATAGTCAAAATGAAGGAATTGTCCTCTCATGATTAGTTGTTATTTAGATTTTCTTGTTTCTGTTTTGTTATTGTATCTATTTGTTTGTTAGTGCTAGTTATTATATGACGAGAGTTGTTCTGAACAGCAGTTATAATGAGTAACGATTGATCAATAAAGGTATTTTTATTTATTTATCATCACTTGGCTTCACTATTTTCACCACTGCCTCCCTCTCAGTCCTCTGTACCGATTTCGTCGTATAAACAACGAATTAACGTGTAGCAGACGCAAACAAATAGTCAGCTGATCAATTACCCACAATTCCAACCAAAGTGGTAGGGATAGAACGAGCCGCCAGCAACGAGTGTATCAGTGTCTGTCGTTCCCTTGTCCTTGTACTAGTCGGTGAACCTTCGCGTCGTGCAAATAAAATTCATTTCGCGGTGTTGGTCGGACAATCTTAAATTTCCTCAAAATCGTTTAGCCTATATTCCGAAGGGGATATTGCTATATTGCAACGCGGTTGGAAATTAGAATTAGTTTAGTTCGTCAAAAAAGTGTAAAAAGTTCGTTTTTACCGGCCAACGCTATCCGCCATTTGGAAATTTCACGTCAGTCACACGAGTTCAAATTGATCGCGTTTTTATTTAGAATACCGGCTACGGCTAGTTACAATTCCTCATCCCTATTCTTCAAATTGTGTCAGTGTTCATTGTGGGTGCCCGAAATTGTAAGTAGTTTGTGTTATTTATTGTTATATCTTAGAATTCAGTGAGTCGCACATGGTAAATTTTCCTGTTGTATTTTGTTACTACATGTTAAAATAAGCACATGTTTCTAGGTTCAAGCTCAAAGTTCTGATCTTTATATCCATTTATAACGTAATAATCTGTACCATTTATTAAGCTGTGATGATCCAATAGTATTAAGAACAAATAGATGAAAATGTTTTTGTAGGGTAATTCAGTGTTACTTTATAGGATTTTTATAGTATTGGAATTTTCACAGAATCGTTATCAAATTTCATTGTTAAGTATCAAGGTTCAATTCACTTAAGAGTGCCACAGTCAGTATTTAATTTGGGGGAACAAATTAATATCAAAGGAGGGAGCAGGTAGCTGATTCGGCTAGATGCGGAGGTGTTATCGGATGCTGTGTCAGTCTGTACATAGATGAACCGCCAAAGTACCAATTAGCCATAAAATAAATAGCAATACCTTAACAAACACTACTACGATTTAAACATATATTGTTTAATCAGTTGGACTGCGAGACGACCTTCGTTTTTTAATCGTTGGCCAACGAACAGGATTTGCTTGGTACTGGTCATCTCAAACAATTAAATTAAATACCACTCATCCGTTAGCACTTTCGCGATCAGTGTGCAACCACACCGTATCTTCCCTTTTGATAAATCTATTTAACATTTTCAAACAACAAATTTTCAATTGATTGTGTCACTCAAACTTATTCAGTGTTACATGAATACAATAGAAACTGCTAATTGTATAATTGTAATTCTTAAACTCTGTTTAATAAATCGCATTGTTATTCACTTTTTTAGTTCTCAATAACCTTGGTAATTCATTATTAGCAATATTATTTAATTAGTGAAACAAGGGTAATTCAGTAAATCATAAGCCACTACAAAAGATTCACCTTTTAAGTGCAACACTAAAAATTAGTGTAGTAGTGAGCAAATTAAATTCAGTGTAGTATTAAGATTGATTATTTATTCAATATAAAGGTTCAATATTAAAGGTATTGCAGTCTGGAAGAACTTCAAACAGTACCAGAAACGTCCCATAAGGACTTCTGGGGAGTATTTTTATTTTACAGGGCCCACTCAAATATTTCTTTAACACCAAGCTTCCACTGCCAAAGCTCTGTTTTGTATTTTTACTTTCCAAGTTCTTCCAACCCAGGGGCAACCAAGATTTGTAAAGAATTCACTTTGAGAGCATTGCAAGGAGTAAATATATTTAAATACAATATTTAAATATATAAGAGTATAAAAACAAAGTCTTTTTATTTTTCTTTACACCTCTTCCTTAAGTCCTCTTTATCACTTGCTTTGTCATCCACTCTTCTCAGTATATGCTGAATATACTGCTCAAATATGCCTAGCCCATTAAACCCTTAAACATTTTAACTACCTAGTTCTAGTGTCTACAAACCTTCTCATGTTCCTTGATGCAGGACGGTGGCCGCCGACGGTCCATGTTGTGTTTGAACTTGATCTTCTGGCAGTTGAGTGTTGTGCCGTTGTAATTGACCTCGCTGGGAATCACGTTCATAGAGAACACAGAAGAATGAGTTGGACAGTTGGCGTTGACCACCAACAACATCAGATCACTGGACGGGATACTCTGAACAACAAACGGACTGCAACATACACACATATTGTCAATCCCACTAACTGACACCACTGAATCTCAAGGATAGATTCATCCGGCTGGATTACTGAATGTCAAATCTCATACTTAGTAACCAATAAATTTAAGGTTCTAAAATTTCTGTTTTAAGCAAGATTGAAATAATTTATGAGCTTTTTTAAACAGGAATCTTGCTATGCTATTGTGACCGTGTAACAAGGATTTCGCATAAATTGCAGGAGACGATCAATTAAGTTGTCTCTTAAATAAATATTACAAGAATTCATCTTTAAGAATTGAGGTTCTGTACTTAATTCCACAAGAGCACCCAACTTATAATATAATCACCAAATATTTAAATAATCAATTTTATAAAACAACAACGCACACATGTGAGTGTATTTTAAGCTGAAAATGAATGCAGGTTGAGTGTACAATGGAGTGAGATACCTGTCTTGTTTTGTTACCAACTCAGATAAACTATTTCTCTAGTTAGTACCGCCATTGACTTTTGGATATTGCAGATCTCATCCATACGGACCAGATGTAGCCAATTATTTGTTAAAAAAAGGATGTAAGTGAATGAGCTGTTCGGGGTGTGCTTCAGTCGAAAATTATATTTTTCCTTTTAATTTGTTCCACTGTGATAATTGTGACATAGAATATAACTTGCTATTAGTTTTATTAGTCGTCCATTCAGTTTTGCTTGGTTAACAAGTTTCCAAACTCCACAGAAATTAATAAATTCAGATCAGCGTACTCAGTCTGCTTAATTTTATGTTGATGTTCATTCTAAAACTGGTGACAACTTAAACATGGCAATACCAGAGTGAGCTGGTCTAGTGAGGTTGTTGGCTCAAATCTTACCAATCAGTAGATCTTATCTACGTTATGCTGCAACTCTCTAGGAAGTTATGTGAATATTGTGAAAATAGGACATAAAACAATCTAACACTCACGGGCTACAGACGTCCCTCTCCTTAGGTTGACCTCTAGATGCTCTCCCTCTTTCTCTCTCCCTCTCTGACTTGGCTCTCTCTCTCTCGGAAACCAGCTGGTACAGGTCTACCTCCATGGTGCAAGGTGCCGGCCGGGTACGGTTGATCATTACCTGTCAATAATAAATATATTGGTACGCTTTTAGTCAGTTGTCATATTAGTAATCTAGAAATATTAAGGTTCCAGTGTCCTGAGACAAAGAGACAAAACTACAATTGGGTGATAACTGTCAAAGTTATTTATAGAGGTTATCATTTTCCTTTACTATCAAAGGCAGTAAAGAATTGAGATCCTACCTCAAATATTTTGCAACCAATTTTATAGGAAAAGCAGTAAGACAGCATTCATTGACTACAGTAGACTCCTCTAGTTCGGCTTCGGTTGGATCGGCTGCCGGATGGCCCGGCCCGGTCTCAGGGGGACAAGTCATATCGTCACGTGCGAATGACCTTCGATAGGATTCAACTTGAATGTTTAGTTTCCGGTTTAGTTGACGGGTGCTTCTATGGGTGAATTTTTGCATTTTACCTATGTAAAACTATGAATGAATGAATGAATGAAAGAAGTGCTTTATTGACCAAAAGATTTTCCTTACAAACCTAGGCTCCTCGCAGGAAGCCACAATGTCTTACACTAAAACCGTAATGGTTCATAGAACCGTCTACGTGGTTGGCATACACTTTCTTTTACACTTTTAATTTAAAACTATAAATTAAATTCTGGACTAAAATCAAAAGTAAAAAGTCTGAAATAAAAATGTTTAATTAAAGCAAATGAAACTAAAAATAAAATAGCTGGCTCACAACCCAATATATGTTATAGATCCATATATACACACACAAATACATACACATACATAAATTAAAACCAATACCCCCACCCTAAAAAAATCTTGTCTTAAAGTCAGTGAATTTTACCTTGAATATAATTCTGGAGTATGACAATTTCAAATAATTTTTATACGTTAAATTCGATTATCAATCCCCACCTAAAATGCCAAGCTTCTTTTAAATACCCACCCAACGCGCGCCAATCCCTCCCATTCATAAAACTTAAAAAATCTTCCCACTCCAATACGTGATTAGAAAAATACTTCTTTCTTATATGAGACAAAACCGGGCATCTACCTACAAAATGGAAAATGTTTTCGTCCTCTTGAAAATTACAAAGAGAGCAACGGAAATTTTGTTCTAAAATCCAAGGCTTATAATTCAGATGTATTGCCTCAGCTCTTGCCTTGAAAATCCAACGTTGTAAATTCATACTAATATTATCTGAAAGATAAGACCGATGGCAGAGATTTAAGTCAAGTGATCTATAAATGTGGTGATAACGACATTCCAGCGCGGCTTGATTCCAGGCCTGCTTGGTCGCCGTCCTAACTGACTCTACAACTCTTATCAGCTGATCATGCATTGATCCTAAACATTCAATATTAAAGTCTATGTTAATACCATGCATTTGACCTAAATTCCTCCATTCTCTAGCCCAGGCTACGTTTTTAAAGATAACTTGCTTGGCAAAAAAGTTTGTAAGTCTGTTCGCTGGGAGCGACAAAGATTGTATTAAATAACTGACATTTGACATTAAGGTATAACAATACATATTTTCTATTCCTGTCTCTAAATGCAAAATATAATTTGGCACATTCTTTGGAAGGCAAAATATTTTCTTAATAAATAATTTCAAAATTCCCTCAACCTGTTGACTCTCTTTAAAACCCCAAACTTGGCTTCCGTAACACATTATTGATCTAATCAATGAATTAAAAGCGAAAACCTTGGAGCTCAACGGGACATTTCCATTGTTAAAAAAATCTCTCCACAACGAATTCATGGCAAATTTTGCAGCTACAGATTTTTCTCGCAAATGACTTTCCCACGACAGTTTTGTAGTTAATAATATTCCCAAATACTTATATTGATTTACAACCTCTATTCGTTTCCCTTTATAAAACCACTTATCTCTGCCACGTAACCTCCCTCCTTTTCTGAATACCATAATTTTAGATTTATTCAAATTCACTCTTAGGTTCCAAAGATCACAATAACGCTCTAGATTTGCGATCATTTTTTGTAGGACTGTTGCGGTAGGAGCTAACAATACAAGGTCATCTGCATACAACAATACATTTACATTCAAACCTCCAAACTTACAACCCCCCTCTAACTCGTCTGGTATGTCGTTAATAAAAAGTGAGAACAACAAAGGAGATCCAACACATCCCTGTTTCAAACCTATATTAGTATCAAAAAATCCTGTAACTCCGTGTTCACATTTAATTCCAGCTGAAGTACCTGTATACAAATCTTTAATTACACTTAAACATTTAGTCGAAATACCAAAACAAGATAACTTGTAGAATAAAGCATTCCTATCAATTGTATCAAATGCTGACTCAAAATCTACAAAAAATGCAAACAATTTTTCTTTTCGCGCTTCAGTTTGTAGAGACACAATGTTTGTTAGATTAAAAATATTGTCCACGGTCGAGTAACCTTTCCGAAACCCTGCTTGACACTCAGTCAGAGTTTGCCGTTCATTGACCCAACTATTTATTCTGTTAAAAACAATACCTGCGTATATTTTTGCTACACAATCAATAAAAGAAAGCCCTCTATAATTCTGAACATTATTTAAATCGCCCTTTTTATGCAGTGGAAAGATAATAGATTTTTTGAAACTGTTTGGAACACTTTTTGAGCTAAACATTAAGTTATAAACTTTACACAATTTTTGTAAAAAAGTATCTGAACTGTTTTTATAAAATTCGTACGGAATACCATCGCTTCCGGGTGCTTTGCATTTTTTCGCTGTTTTCAGAACTGCTTTAATTTCACACACACTTATATCGCTATCTAGATAAGGATCTTCAATGTACGGTTCAGCATAAACTACGCTCGATATACATATTTTTGGATTCAACAAATTCCGGAAATGCCTCTCCCATTCATCAGCTCCAATTGAACCTACTACTACGTTCTTCTTTCTCTTAAACCGGTTAATAGCTTCCCATGTCTGTTTTGTATTTTTATGGTTGCCGAGATTATTTATTAAATCGTTTTGAGATTGTGCCTTTTTCTGTTTGCAAAGTAATTTAAACTCTTTGTTTTTCTCCAAATACAAACTTCTTGCCCCTACGGAGTTCGTTTTTCTAAAAATATTTAAAAATTTAAATACTTTTTTCCTCATTGAAAAACATTCCCAATCAAACCATGATTGTTTGCCTTGAAATCCAGACTTGTCATAGTTTGTTTTACTGCCAAGCTTACTGTGTTTCACATGTGCCGATACCTTAATACAATTGATTAAATTGTTAACATCTTCTTGACAATCGCCTACAATATTTAAATTATTAACCACAGAACTTAACTTATTTTTATAATTTATCTCATCGTTATCAGTCCATTTAAGCCTTGGTAAAAATGGAAGCACAGTGCCAGCATTATTTAAATTTACAGTGAAATTCATTTTAAGATGCAATGTTATTGGCATGTGATCAGAACCTATTTGTTTTAGTACACTAAAATCCCTTATCACATCCAGACAATCTAATGAGACCAAAGCGTAATCTATAACAGATGTCCCTTTTGCACTAATAAAAGTATACTCCCCTTGACTGTCATTTTTTGTCCTACCATTAATTATAACAAACCCATAATTTTCGCACATTTCTAAAATCAGTTTACCTTTACTGTTTACTACAAAATCCTTTGACTTTCTGACATTTAGAACAGTATCCTTCAATATATCTAACTGATTAGGAATTTGTTGTAAACTAGCTGTTCTTCCATTTAGATCACCCATAATAACAAAACTTTTTTGTGGATTGTCAGTAAGAAATTGGTTAACTCTCTGAAAATCATTTTCCCAACAATTATAATTAAGGTAAAGAGGCAAGATTGACAATTTTTTGCTGTTATGCAGCCTTTTAAAATTGACGAGATTGAAATTATCTAGTACTCCAAAACTAAGTTGATCTACGAATTTACTTTTTAAATTAATTCCTAATATTACCCCTCCTATTGCTCTCCCAAAACAATGTACCCTCTGAGCAAATTCAAACTTAATCTTAAAACCTTGGAAAAAGTCAACAAAAAACTCTCTTTCATTTTCTGTAATAAAAGTCTCTATTAAAATAAAAATATCACACCCATTAATTAATTGTTTAAATGAACTACAACTAACCTTTGATTTTAGTCCACATACATTGTATGAAATAACCTTAAGGGAATGTTCATTTTTGAGGTCAGCGTCCTCGGTGTCCTCTTCTCCCTCGGGATTGGCGTAGGTTGCTCACTCTTGAGTGGTGGCGGCGAAGGCTGACGTTGGTGTTGTCCCAAGCTGTCCTAGTGGCGTCTGGGTTGACACCTTGGTCTGCTGCTGTGGTGTCGATAGAGGTGCCCGCTCTTCGTCATTCTGCTTTAGGTTCGAGTTTTTCTGAGGCCCATTCTCACTCAGCTCACTTACAAAACTAGAAAAGTCATGTCCTGTGATGGCTAATAGTTTCTCAACACCATTTTGTCTCCCTGCCCAGAGTCCTCCGTCCCTCCAAGAGAAACGGCAATCGTTCACAATCAGACTGTCAAAATTAATAGGCATACGTCGTTTACCACCCACAACTCTTTCAATCTCAGACCTAATCGCGATCAAGTGAGCTCGTTTTTCGCGGATTTCCAGCGGGTAATCACGGTGGACAACAAACCCTGTACCCTTTAACCTACTAGTGTTTGAGATTATATACATGTAATCGTAATCGTCAGGAAAGTGGGCAATTAAAGTGTTCTTACTATTTCCTAATGGATGTGCCCTATTTACATACACATTATTACCACACCCAAACATATCTATACAGAATTGCTTCACAACCTGTTTATAGTCCCCCTGTCTACCTCCCCACTTTAGTCCTTTAAATATTAGATTATTCCTCCGCGCACGAGATTCAAGATCAACTAGCTTAGCACTCATTCTATGGTTCTCCTTCTTCAAATGATGAAGTTGGTCCATGATCGCCATATTACTATCGGATAACCTGTTAACCTCGCTAGTAAGCTGTTCAAAATCTGCTTTACTTACAAGACTGTTTATTTTCTGGTCCAGAAGTCCACTAAACACTTCAGTTAGCTGTCCTAGGGTTAGGTTACCTACAAGCTGCTCCTCCATCTTGGCACGCCGACAATCACTCGCGAGTTCCGGGGACGAGTTCGATCGCACGCGTTTCACACTTCGCGACGATAATGGCGAGAAGAACTCCGTGATTTTATGTCCACTCATACAAATCCGAAATTCACTACTATGCGAAACAAACTATCAATGTCTAGTGCCTCGACTTAACTGACCCCTGTTCGATTGGGACTACTGATAACAAACCCACGAACCTATGAACCTATGAACCGCCATTAAAACTTCATGTAGACGATCATCCTCGACGAGCACGACGTTATCACAATTGATTTGTAGCTGTCCTATCACACCTCTGGGTGCATCTTCTATATAATTATACGTTAAAGATCTCCAAGAAAGTTCCCTGATATAAAGTTAAACACTTTACTCAATATTTATTAGAATAACTGGTAAAAACGTAGGAGCTAACTAAACGACCGTGTGCTTGAAATGCAGTCAGTACTGCCAACCCCTATGTAAAACTATGTTACATAACCTCAAAAATACCAAGAACATTTTATAAATAGTTTTTCTTCAGTCAAATATGTTGAAATGCAGTGTATAATTAAATATTTCGGACCATTTTTTATGCGGTAGGTTTCCCCATTATTGTTTTTGAAACACCATTGTTTATTTGATAAAAATAAATTAAGGCAAAGCAAAGAAATAGCCATCGTTAGCTTCAAGGACAAGCTATCCGCTTGCACTGACAATAGAGACAATCATCTGCTCTTTACACAACTGTCAGCTGTGTGCTTGCTATCTTCACAACTGTTTGTGATTCGGTGGTTGGTAACCATGGCAACTTGTTGAATGTGTGGATGAAGAGAAACCAAAGAAAGAATTTAAGAACAAAGAAGAAAGAATAAGCGGTGTTTTACGTCATCCATTGTTATCTTTATCCTATTTTACGACTGTCGTTATTATCTTTACTATGATTTTATGCAGTTTTATGAGTTATCTAATGTTTTTATCGTCATTCTTATGTTCTGAAACAACATGTAGTAGTAGCCTATGCTGACTACAGTAGCAGTAGCATGCTGTACTAGACTTTCTATTGTTCTGTACTTACGTGATTTATTGCTGTACTTACAGTGTTGTGTAATTTTTGTTTTGCTTGAGTAAGCGTGATTTTAAACGTTACAGTTTTGAGATTACTCGATTACTGAACCAATGTTCACACATCACGATTGCGTAATACTATTATTTGTATTTTGATTATGTAAAATGCAAATTAATTATCACATTAACGTCCATTTTATACAGTATTAGGGGTTTTATGGGTATGTAATATGTGTTTATGCCATGTTGGATTAACCGTGGTTTTCAGTTATCCGTAGCCCCACCCCCGGATAATTGAGGTTCTACTACATCCGGTTGGTCCGGTTGTTTTGTAGTCCTGCCAGTGGTCCGGTCCCGAGGTGGCCGAACTAGAGGGATTCTACTGTAGATGCTTTAGCGTTTGAGAGTTTGGGGGATGATGTTGCTCGCATCTGCAGAATAGAGAAGCTACATCTGTTCCTCTGAGTTGTGCTAAACTATGTGATAATTTTTGTAGCTAGACCATCACACTACCACCTGCCACACAAAATACTGTACTTCTGTGGTTTGTGGGGCAATTTAGATTAAGCCTCCTTTTTCACAACAAATAAAGCGGATACATCCGTTAGCTGTCCAGGATGGGTTAACATTCAAGTAAAAAAACATGCATTTATTTATTACATTTTGGAACGGTTCCTTACAAAAAGGATCCATCTGGTGAACACAATACAAAATGTACCTTGCCAAAAACATCCTTAATGTTGCTCTCGCCTGAAGGCATGGACATTGTAGGTTCTACGTCATCTCCCTCTTCCTCCTCTCCTTCTGTGATGTACTCCTCATCAGAAACTGAAAGATAAATCATCAATCACCAGATGGTTGCTGACAGCTTACAAATCAATATTTTTAATGGCAAAGACCAAACTTAAACTTTGCATATCATCTTGTGAAGAACTCACAACCTGTACAACAAAATTCAATCCACCTCTTAGAAGTATACTTTCAATCTACAATGGCATGGAAATCTCACACTATGATAATTTGTTCAAACTTTCTTGGATTTGTCATCAGTTACGACGATTAAAAACCTCTGTCTCTCAATAGATGACAGTTATGTCTTATTTCCGATATTTCCTTTGTTATCTATTGGTCCAATGGATCAAGAATAAAAATCATGCAACACTGATATTTCGTCCTAATACAGTAAAACCCTGACTAATCAGAAATAAAGAAGGCGAGTCCAGAGAGGTTATTTTTTAACTGAATTCTATAAATCTATAACTAGGCCTAAATACACAAAATACATTTTAGCAAATTGTTTTTTTGAACTTTATCTTTATCAGGGTAAGAGATGTGTATTGTCGTCTGCACTATTACATTCTGTTGGCCAATTACCTGCATCACTGAGGAAAATTCTTGCTGCATACAAATAATTTTACAGTTTTTAATATGGTTTCGGTTAACTCGGGTTTCAGTTTAATGTGGTGAGGTTAAAAGAGCTTTTTCTGTAATGTACTGACTTCTTCTGTACTGGTACTGGTCTTCTTCAGGTAGTATGATAACAATAAATGTGACTTAAACCTCTAGGCTTGAACTTTTATTGGTAGAAGAACTCTTTCCCAAAAATCCTCCTTAATATGTGCTAAGGTTAAGTGACTTACCCTCTGGGGGGAAAGAAAATCCCAGAGTTCCGATCCACTGGAAGTTAAACTCAAACAGAAACCAGACCACATTCGCCACAATCCAGTTACCCAACCAGCTGATATAGTGCAGGGGCTAGAACAAGAATTGTTGTATTACTTCATGATGGTATTAGTAGTAAAAATTATCACTTAAAACCTTTTAATTTATGTTTTATTACTATAAAGTCTTGTAGTTGGAAAAATTCCTAATCATCAAGAAAAATTATTTTGTGTTATGGAATTTACAAAGTTGTCCAAGTGCAGCAAACATTTTATCGGCAACCCCTCTGCACCAACAAATCTGTGAATGGCAAAGGGAGTTAAAAGAATTGTAAAATTGTAAAGAGAATGTTTATTTTATATGTAGACCTACAATTTAAGGTGAGCTTTATTCCACCAGGTCTTCGCCTTTTCACATAGAGCTAAATAAGCCACAAAGACATTAAAAATCGGCAAGGTTCTAAACCGAGCCTCTAGGATTGATGTCCTAAATCGTGACCACTAACCCCTGCCTCAAAATACCTGTTATGAAACTGTAACCAGTTCAAAACACACATATACTACTGAGACCCAAACTCAAAATTGTCTAATTACAACTATATGTTGGATAATCTTGATATTTTAAGGAAACTTACATTTTTCAAACCAACAGAATCACTTTTCTCGGGTTGAGTGGCAAAGCAGACACCTTGATAATCGTAGATGTGGACTCTACGGTAAACATTCTCGGCAACTAGCTGTTCCATGACGAATGGGTGGATCTAAAAACATTGAAATTTGAAACCAGATGTTAGAAAGGCAAGGTAAACTACCATCTAAGGTAACGTTAGCTTTGGCAGTAATGAAAAATGCAAGAACACTACTAACATCATGAATAATATCAACATTTCAGTTTTTAAGTTCATGAAGATTACAAACCATTTCTAAATGGGACGGTTTATTACATGAAACAAATTAAATTTTCTTTACAACAGGATAACTGTTGTTCATGATACTAATAATAAACAGAACCAAAAGTTTACAACAGGGAAACATGTAAATTTAAATCCATGTTTTAGTCCCTGTGCTGTGATATAGTCAAAAATAGGTCAACAGCTCGATTTGAGTTCCTAACCTTTGTTACGGCCATTTCGGCATTATAATGCCATCATCAGACACTGAAATTCAGCTGAAGTAGCGTCGTCATAGTTTTTGGTGTGTTTTTAAGCTATGATGACGCTAATCCAGCTGAATTTCAATGTCTAATGAATAATGATGGCAATATAATAACGAAATGGCCGTAACGAAGGTTACAACAGATTGAGCTGTAGACAAAAAGGTAAATACCTATTTAAACATGTAAAATATATCAAGATCACGATATCAAATATCATCAACATCATAAATCAAACATTATGAAATCCCTATTAAAATATTAATCTCTTGTTATGTTAAATTCAACATAGTTGACATGTTAGGTAGTGATTTTACATATTTAAATAATCTGCTTAACGTGTCTGTACGTAAATATTCTAGAGCATTTTCATCCAGGATATAAATTTTAATGTACATTTTTTAACTTTCTCTATATGCTTCACATAACAAGTGGGTCAACTAATTGACACCAAAATGGTCCGAAAATAAAACTATTCTACAGAACATTTTTATTTTCGGAGTTGACATAAACTTGAGGTGACACACTTATTTTCTTACATAATGTTTTGTGACCTGATGCTTGGATTACAATATGTTAGTGACAGTTCGAGGATTACCTCTCCAAAGAAGTAGCCAGTGTGTTCTTTGTTTTCCGACAGTATCACGTAGGCGTTGCTGTCGAGGACGAAACACTCAAAACTGTCGCTCGCACAGGTTTGGGAGTGTCGGCAGTCTCCCATACTTGTCGGACACTATTGACAATCATCAAGTTGATGTCTGTCACATTTTAGTTTTACGGGGTAAAATATGAAACGTTAAATAAAATCTGAAATCTGTGAAAACAAAAACCAATAAAACTTTCTCTGTTTGGCTCTAAAAGAGCACCACTAACATACAACTTACTTAACATACAATACTTTACATTTATTTATGTCTATCAGCGCCACAAGCATTTTTCCCTCGTTTTTTGTAAGGGTGGATGGTAAAACCCTAGTCATCTTACAATCCAACCTTTCGTTAGATTACATCATTTGATAGCCCAATGCCAAGTAGAATCTGGGTCCATTAACTTTGCGATTGAATCTTCAGATTTGAAAACATTTATAAAAAGAACCTTTTCTGTTGGTTCAAAATAAAAGTCTACAAAACATAACAACACTGATATTTTGTCCTGATGTAGGACTACTCAGAGAGTAGGTTGATAAGTATTGTTAGTTAAAGTTTGAAACTCAAGAGTTGCCATTTGTGAGAACAAAAAAAATAAAATTAAAATAAAAACTAGACAAGACACTATGAAACTCCTATACTATACATAAACACTAAAAAGACGTTCTGTATTTATACAGCACTTTTGGAAAAACTACATAAAAGCTAGCTGAGAGCAAAGTTTGGGGTTATTATCAAAGATTCCAAAAATCCTCCGAACCTCAATTTAGATTCGATCAAACTTACACTACGTGTGATGTTCATAAAGAGGTTGTGAAGTGCGGAATGTTGGAACTGAAACCCGACCACGGCCGCTGGTGCCCTTTTATCTCCGTTCTCAGCAAAGATGGCGTTGGCTGCTGTCACCAGTATTTCATTCTTGATCAGGTTTTCCGAGCCTAAAATACCTAAAGAAAATTAACAGAGTGAATGAACTACATTGACATTTTGGACAGCTGGGAAATTAATTGGGGAGAAAATCAAGTCTTAAAGTTTTGCAGCTGTTTAAAACGTTGTACGTCCACATGGTATAGCTGGAGAGAATTTATCCACCTTTCCCAGATGGGTGACTGATATACCCGCATAATGGTTGTAGATGTTATGTTCATTATATCTATACAAAAGTAAAACCAGGAAGGGTTAAGGGGCATTGTGTAGGCTAGGTTCAAATACAATCCTTGGCTTATTTGTTATTTATAGATAATCATACACTGATCATTATACTAACCACTGTTGAAGGGGACAGTGTAGATGAATCTGTCAGGATCATCATAGTTTTGCTCCACTGCTCGTCTGTACCAGACCTCATCAATCGCACGAACATGGGTGTCTTTAAAGTGCCTAAACAAATACAACCTTAACTATCAAAAAAAAAAAAATAAACACAAACACCAACATTGTTCCTCAAAGATCAAATTGATTGACAGACTCTAGATGATTTGGAAAAAGATGTAAAAGTGAAAAAAGGTTTGTAGAAGTTACAAGAAAAATCCTAAATTTTGATTTTTGACGTGCAAATTCTACTCCGCTTTTCACATTCATTCACATACATAAGATACATTACATAAGATATCATTACATAAGATATTAGTTTACACCATTTATTCTAAATTTCATGAATATGGGGGGAATTTGTAAAGAATTATGTGCCTGAAAACACACTTCTAATACATGTATAAAAAAATTCAAACAAACTATTTTTGGTCTTCAGAGGAACCAAAAACTACAATTTGTAATGTATCCAGACTAAGGTCTTACCATGAAGACTACTCTTACATATAGACAAATTCACCTAAACACACTCCACACTAAACTGAGCAACATAAAAAAAACCCAAAACATTAAGAATAACAGATATGGTCACAAAGATAAATAAAAATACTGTGACAGATAGGAGCTACTAAATAATAAAAAAAAAACATGGACTAAAATTTTACTTTATCAGAAATTGCTCAAAAACTATTCAACCCAAACAACAAATCTTACGGTCCGGAAGGTTGATCGTCTTTTCCAGGAACATCCGGGAAATCCTGCCATCGGGTGAGTCCACTCCGGGTCGCCAGAAAAACCAAAGTTAGCCCAAAACGCTGCTTGAACTCCTTTCTACAACAAAACACTGGGAGTTAATAATCCTACGTTATCGATTTAATTTTTAATAACAAATTCAGCAATTATAAAGTGGCAAGCGTAAATGTTCCTGAACGGTAAAACTCTTGCATAAAGTAAACCCCAAATCAACAGGAGGTAAAATAATACAGTAACTAAATGATCAAATTCATTACAAAAATGTTTCTTGAGATATGTTGAAGAGTTAAAATTAATCACAAATGCTGTTCAGTACAGTACCAAACCAATATTTCCTTAGGATAAAAAAAAAAATACTGCATATCCTACTGAATAATCTGAAACCAGTTTGGTTGATGTCAATATAATGATTTCCTATTATTTTAAAGTCAGTTTAATATTGTGCAATTAACTCTTAGTTTGTATTATGTGAGGACGAGTAATAATTTTAAATGTATTGTTTTGTTTGGTTAGAGCTTAATTTCAATGTGTTTGTTACCAATTATAAATTTGAGAGGTGGTTAAATTTATGTTTTTTTTAGTTATTGCTTTTTGCATTATTTATTTAGGTTGAATACATTTTCCAAATATAGCTACTACTACACTGGTACACAAATAATTCCATAAGGAGTGTAAGGTTGACTTTTTGAACTTGTTTCTGGTTGTTTTTTTTACTATTCAATCTTTTGGCATTTTATAAAATAAGAGAATAACATCATTGTCTTTGAAACCCCATAAAATATACCAAATAAACATCTTGTACATGAAAAATATGTTAAATTGCATATACATTGTACATTGAAACTTTTAGTTGAAAATATTATTAACGCAAATAACAAAACAAACATTTGGTAATTATTAAAATACACTATAAACACTGTAAAATCCTGTTGAACGTAAGCGGAAATGGGATTAAAACATGGCTTGGGTTGACACAGATTTATTTAAGATTAGTACATCGCCACCATGAAACAAACCCAACAATTAGATTGTGAATTTCTAACCTATAATGGATTGTAAAAAGTTTCCAATGGACCACACGTATACAAATTAAATATCATGAGACCAAAAAGGTTGAACAAAACATTTTAGTCATTACAATATCAACGATTTAAGAGCATAAATATAAGAATGTAGAATGAAGAGATTTTTTAACAATACATTGAGTTCTATGACATTGATTTCCCTGTGTTAGGAATATTTTTAAATCCATCATAGGTTAAAACATTCATAGTTAAGGCTTCCTACATTTTTTCTCTATGTCCTGGTTTAAATTTGGCAGCAATGCTGGATTGATTAGTTAGACGGGAATCAAATCAAACCAACTTTATTTGTGATGCACATTTATGACACACAGACACATTGAACAGAATTTAGTTTGTCACATTAAAATAAAAACTTAAGCTAATCGTATTACTTTCTTTACTATTTTACCAAAAACATTAAAAACATTTTTATCAGTATTAAATTTCAAGAAATTGAAAAAAATCATCTTATTTATGTAACAGCCTTTTAATGAAAAATAATTTTAAATGTTTTTTTTATAAATTTAAATCATCTATATTTTATATACCTTCAATTATGATATGACATTATAAGATTGGTTTTTCTTGTAAATCGATAATAATTATGTCTTTAAGCCAGTTGATTATGTAAACCAGTTGATCCCCTTTTCTATTAGGCTTTATTTATGAAGAGTCCAGTTATTGGTAATATTTCGAAATTTTGTTTAATATTGAATAGCTAGTTGATAAATGTCAGCTAAAACAGCCATAATTTCCATAAAGTGTTCTTTGGCGGATTCTATTTAAAAAAATTTACATTATTTGGATTGCCTTTTTTGAAGTTCTAGAATACTATTTAAATTATTAGGTGATGTACTATCATAAAGAAATAACCCAAAAGAAATGAAAGATTCTATTAAGGAATGATATAGGCCTACTATTTTTTAGGCTTTAAAGCTACTAAATATTTTTAGGACCAATTTTGTTCTGCTCCGTTCACCGCCATACTGATTAATCGTACGTTTACTTGTAATGGTTGATTTAAAAGGGGTTTCTAGGTAGCAGCAGTCATGCGTACATATTCCGTCATTATTAGTCCTATAATAATCACTTTTATAATCAGTTTTCCTGTGAATCCTGTAGAGAAAAATGATATAACAATCATAAAAACCAACAGCAACAGATTATAGTAGATACATTCAACAGCTTACTCTAGCAAAACAAGTTATCATCCAGATTCATAGATTAAAAGACTAAGGTTTAGTTTGATTATGAAAACAAATCCTTTGTCCTGTGAAAGCTATAAAAAACACAATAAAACATTATAAAGCATAGTTTAGATTAGTAATGTGAGCAACAGTGATAGCTCCAACATCAGGTTACCCCTCGTCACAGTCTCGAATAAATATCTAACAAAACAGTTAATCGTTCATGCTAAAAATTACAATTAGAATTACACAGAGAAATGTATTTAATGAAGGATTAGAACAAAACCAAGCAGCCATTAAATTTATTTTACTCTCAATTTAGTGTCTCCTGTAGGGTTGTCCGTAGGTAATCTAACTGGTTCCTACCACAACAGTTAGTTTAAATAACACTAGCATCATGTTCTTTACTTCTCCCTCCACTATTCAACGCTCAGTATCGTCTTAGAATCCGTTAATGCAGGGCAAGTCGACACGCCAGCCGAGTACGAATCACAGTTTACTGAGAGTCAACTGAAAGTGAAATCAGCAAATGATAACAAACAGTCAGTAACAGTTAGCTGCAAAGTTTAGTAATTTGCCCTCTTATTTATTCCAAGGAGATTAAACAGTTATCATCTGCTAGATTATTAAAATCTCATCAGACAATATAAGTGAAAATAAATTAGTTCCAAGTTATATACAAACAATGAATAAGGAAACCAACATGATTCTTTAGAAACTCCTTCCAGATGGTCTTCTCCTTGCTTTATCACAACTGTAAAAGCTAAATTAGGTCAAACCACATAAAATGTTAAACTTTGTGAAAACAGTTAATATGCAAGTTAATATCAAAAAGCATTAGGAAGTAAACAAGGACTTGTAAATATTAAGTTTTACAAGCATACAGGGAAATTATGTCATTGTAGTGCTGTAGTTGTATTCAGAATTTAATGAAGTGTCAATTATTGTGTCTAGAATTGGGATAAAAGATTTTAGAGGTTTAAATTTAGAAACACAATATTTTAATTAATACAAATTGTTATATGAATGGAGTGGTACTGGCAAATGTTAAATTAAAGATCTAATAAAGTTAATCTGACAAGTTATTCTTACAAAACCGCTTTACTTTGCAACCAAGCAATTTGTTGAAGACCTACGTTTACCTGAATTTCACCTTAAACTGAATTAGCAAGTGCATTTTCTCATAAGTTTAAATAATAATACCTATTATTTTGCTATTAAAATAAATTTAAACAAAACAATTGAACACTTTGACTATAAAATAAATTCAAAACCTAAATCCGAGTATTTTAGTAAATTCAAAAAATCTTTAATTTGGAATGATTTTACAAAAATACTTAATAAGCCTAAATTTTTATGTATTCGTTTAGGAAATAGTTTATATTAATAATTTGCTTTTTCACTGTTTCTTTTTGTTACAAAATTTTGTTAAGTACCATTTACTGTGATGATATTTTCAGGAGTTCAACTGTAAAACACAAATCACCAAACCACAACTTTATATAAATCTGTAAAACTTTGCACAAACCTAGTAATCACAGGTTTTACAACCGACACAATAAATTACAATATACAACCATAAATTATTTGAATTATTATTTTTTTAATCTTTAGTTAGGTCAGGCCTTTAACAGAGAATTACTAGGGTGGGAAAAAGCGTGTGATTGTGTTTACTTTACCTTGATAGCAAAACCATCAGCTTTGCAATGGGCCTTTGGTGCAAAGAACATAGGGTTAGTACACTACAAACAACAGTGCACAAGTACAGTTCTGATGCCTTCAAAACATTTTATAGGTATTGCAAATATATACAGGGTGAATAAAAAGTCGAGTCCCATATAATATTTTTCTAAGTAAATATACAAAGATGTCCTTTTGGTGGTCGTGCAATCTCAGAAGGAAGTTTCATTTAATGATTTTGGAAATTTTAAGTGTCCTCCAAAAAGGGGGATATTTTGGACAATCTTAACATTTTTAAAGTAAACCCCCTTCAAGTGACACCACATTAAGTGTTTACAAAAAATCAAAGAATGGTGAACACCAGAGCTCACTATATCTTCGCTATCAAAAATGGTATCCAATATTACCATTACATTGATTTTTTTTTCTTTTTAAGGTGCAGACTTAAATATATTTGACGGGCTACCATTTTGGATAGAGAAGAGATAGCAAACTCTGGTTTTCACCATTCTAGGTTTTTGTAAACACTTCAAAATAAGGTGTCACTTAAAGGGGGTTTACTTTAAAAATGTTAAGGTTGCCCAAAAAAACTTAAGCACGTGAGATAATGAAGCTAAATTTTACAACCATTAAATTAAATTAAACACCCCTTTGAATTACAAAGTATTAAAGCCAAATAAATAAATCTGGCTAATGAGTCAAATGTAAATAAATATCTTAAGTAAAGTATCAAGTCAAAAGGCATCAGAACCATATATTTTATGTTATATAAAGTGCAAAAGCTAATCAAGCAACTAGACTACTCCTTGCTGCTCCTGATTAAAACATGTATCGTTAATTATAGTTATGTAAATTAACTAGTAATTGTGTCCATCAATTGTATTCTGACAATAGAACAAAGATTTGTTTACAAATATTCATTTGTTATGTTAACTACCTAATTAATATTTAATAGTCTTTTGAGTTTATTTTTGATAGCTAGCAAAAGCTCAAATATTTTACTGTAGGCCTACTTTTTTTGAAAACATAAAATAGCTTGTAGACTTGAGCATTTATTTTTTATTTTACAAGTAAATACTATGTAATGATGTTTTTGATCTAAACAAAAATGTAAAGTACCGTCAGGATACCTTACATGAGAAAGTTGTGGAGTCCAGGGATTTCAAGTAATTTAAAATAACAATGATTCTTCATCCTAGAAAAGGATTTTTTCAGGAAGCACATCTCCCATATGTAATTTTGGAAGCTGTTGCAGGTTAATACAAAATATCAAAGTTAACTTATATGATCTTTTATAGCAATTGGGCTATAATTAAGTTCACAGTTTTCTAAAAAATGCAAGCTCAACAACTCTATTTTTAAAAGTTTCTTAATTTAATGGTAAATAATTAAAATCACTTAATTCCACTGTGAATATTATCAAACAGAAAAAGATTCCAAAAACACCATTCACCGCTAATATTGATAAATACATTTTTTTTGTAATGCTAACGGTGATTTTTTTAGTAAGGTCATACAATCAAACACTTCCTCAGGTAAAAAATCATTTGTAAAAAAATAGAAAGGGGTTTTTCCTAGATTTCAAACACCCCTCCCCCATTAAATCAGTTTTAAAAAGAGGTGCAACGGCAAAATGCGTGTGAACCAACATACAAGTGCGAGGAACATTTTATTGAATATATATTTACCCCTTGTCTTCGGCTGAGGCAGCACTCACGTTTTTGTTGAACCAAGCTGTAACTTTGGCGTCAAACACCAAGGAAAGGAAAAGGGTTCGGTCACCTGGAAAAGATAAAACATTCTCACAAATAGAAAATCATAGACAATAATTATTCACATACCCATCGCCAGCAAAATTTCTATAGCACATGAGTATTACCATTGACAATAGATGCTGCAAGTGGACTTTTTTCCTTTTGTGAAATCTGAAGTCAGTTTAGATCAGTGTGTTTTATGTACAGTAGCATTCATAGATGCTGATGTTAATTAATTTTTCTCTTTTAAATTTTTTTAAGTTTACACTTTGTTACTATAATTTATGATACCAGAGGCTAAGCCGTAGTTCATAAATAAATTGTTTACTTGGTTGAGATAAGCAGGTCAGAAAACAAAGCTGCTGGCTCACCCAAAAGTGATGTCAGATACAGTGATTGATGTGTGGAAATTACGTAAAAGTAGTATTTAAATATGAAAAAAAAAATGGGAGGGGTTTGTGATTTATTTGAGCTAATATGGCCATTGTTATGTGATTTGATGATGTAAGTTGGTGACATGATTAAACGACTTCAAAGTTAAAGGGCAAGGTAATTAGGATGAAATAAAAAAAAAATCTTTCTTGCACTGATGTAACAAATCCCAGCTTTTTTCTATGTTCCACCCATCCATATACAGTACTATCTAGTTATCTAAAATCTATCTATGTACAGGTCTGCAGTTTGCATGTGATGCGATCCCAAGAGATGACTGTGCCTCTCTCCCCCTACTTTGTGGGGAAGTTTTTCTCTTCCTTGCGACCCTGGGCCCATTTATTAAGGTGACCATGTATGACAGTACAGTTATAAAATTTTTCTCTGTTTCATCCCTTTTCCCATCCTTTTCCTACTAAACTGATTTTTTCAATTGAAGTGTCATTTTAAAGCTTATAATATTGCTCAGTGACAAATGGTGGTTAACCCTTTGCGGTCGGAGTATAGGTCGCCGCCCGCCATTTTGCCGACTGCTCAAAAATGACATACTATAAGGGAAAAAAATGAAAAATCAAAAAGTTAATTTTTTTGGTCGAATGGTGAGTATAGGTCACCGGGCGCCATTTTTCCGACTGCTCAAATGGCAAAATATACTCTCTGCAAAATGAAAAAAAAAATTCGACCTCAAAGGGTTAAAAAGTGTATTTCTTAAGGGCTTCGATTACTTTGGCCTTTGATTTATTTTTAATGGATGCCTTCAAAAATCCAGGTGTTGGCGAGCAGCTTACTTAATACCGGTTTTAATGTCAGTTGTAATTTAACAGCTGATTACCTAAAAGGCATTAATAGTTAAGCCTCGGAGATGGGTTCAGAAACCTATTAAAATGTCATTTCGTGCACGGGCCCTGCGTTATTTATTCATTTCATATTTTATTTAATAATCAGAAGCTATTGGTTAAAATGCCACAGACTTAAGCTGAAAATGTATAGTAATGTAACCCAAAACTGAAAAGTTTTAAAGTCGGTGAAATAACAAAAATAAATAGTTAAATTTTAAAAAGAACTCTACATGTGATGGGCAGAATCTATCTTCAGTTCACCCATGGATATGGGCGGATCCATGGAAGGGGGGGAGGAGTGCAGCCTTCCTTTGGGGTGGTTTATGTTTTTGTTTAAATCAAAAAGTAAAAAATATTAGACAAGTTTGAATTTGACTTTAAATTATGCCGATATATAGATTGCCCCAAAATGTTTAAAGTTATTATGTTTCAAAAATTTTCATGAGGGAAGATCCCAAACACCTAGCTCATGAAAATATAAGAAAGTAACCCCACTTTTTAACTGGCTGGATCATCTCATGACCATAAGGAAGACAAATCTTCAAAGTGTACGTTTAATCTATGACATTATACACTAATTTTATAATTAAGTTACAATTTGTATATTGTAGTTGTTACAGTCCTATACGTTCTACACAGCCCCTTTATTATACATTACATAATTTAAAAATAACTGTCAAAGCCTCTACTTTTTAATGTCCCATCTTCACATCCAAGGACGCTAGGTTCTAGCCTGGAATTGACTTTACACATTGCTTCAGGCTAGTCGTAGAGGGTTGCAGCATTATCACATGGATAAAACCTTATGTTGGTTGGCAGGATTAGATCCCAGGACCTCGGGCTCCAAAGAAAGCCCACAACCTACCACTGGACCAGCTAGTTCCCATAAAGCTTTGACTATTAGTTCCAAGTCCATTTCAGGGTGGTAAAAAGAAATAAATAAAAATAACATTTTTACTTCACATAAATAGGTACTTAACAGATTAACTCATTGCAGGGATTGTTAATGGAAGTATTTTTCCAATAAAAAGTAAGTTGTCTTTTCTTGAAAAACCTATCAATTTTATTTTCAAACAATTCAACTTACTGCGGTTAAAAATGGCGTAACGAGTCTATGAAATAGATGAAACTATAAGTGAACGGCAGGATTTAAACCTTGGTCTATAGGCCTACCACAGAAGTCCTACGCTCTAACCACTAGACCACAACCCAAACACTTACTTCTTACCCAATAAATATTTCACCACAAATACAAAGTACTACAATTTTTTCTAACCAAAACTACTCACAAATACTTATAACACGTTAACAACACGGATGTGTTGTTGATGGTGCAACTTAACTAAGTGCAGTGTCCATTTATAATCTACTTGTGGAACTTTTGCATGCATAAATTTCTGTTCCACAGCTAACAATGTGCGGGCATGCACAAAAATCTCAACAGATATTTCTACCTTGTGTAATCTACAAACATGATGACAAAACATGACTCGCTGCTCTTAAACAGTTTGGCGTAAATGGGTGATGGAGAACAATGAAATCAGCTACCAAATATTGTTTGTAGTTAGCAAAATGTTGATGTATGGAAAATCTCTGATTAACCCTTTGTCATCCTGATAAACCATGTCTAGGTTATGTGGCCTATGATTGGTTGGTTGGCTGGCTTTGCACAGCAGCTCGGATAACTTAACAATGGTTGACCTTGCTTTTCAGATGACCGGTGGTATTGGCCAACATTGTTAAACTCAAAACGCTCTAAAAGCCAACAATAGCAAAAAAAATGCTTTTTTACAACAAATGGATTTTTTTTAGCTGAAAATGTAGATGATTCGGAGCTAGTGGAAGAAAAGGTCATTATGGCTGCAAAGGAAATAAGCAGAAAAGGCAAGCCAGATGTTAAAACTTGTATCTGCAAACTAAATTTAATTTTAATTTACAAAAATTATTATCAGTTCAAATAATTTACAGGGTGGTTTTGTTTTCAAACTGACATAAAAAAAGCTTCAGCATTACAAGCTTGATTTTATTCCTTTTTACAAAATAAAATCCGCACAATCCTACATGACGTAGTGTGAAATAAATGAGAATCCAGAAGAATACATATTTTTAATATATTGATATACAATAAAGATTGTTTTCAAACCCCAATTTAAGGCATCCATGAATGCCATAGATTTTCTTAAAGATCAGTAAGTGATTTCTTTCTCAATCCAATTCATGTCCAACCTTTGACGTAAATTTATATTTCCAACCAATAGGCTACTAGGCCTATACTTTTTAAGTCTGAAAACAACTTCAGTTATGATATTATTTATTTGGTTTGAAATATACCGTAACCCGAGCGTTTGTGAAGTATATTGGGAAGAGATTCGCTAAATTACCTGAGGAACTGAGAAACAAACAGGTTCCCACTGAATTATGTTTTGTATGGTTAGCGGTAAGATTTTCCTGTACTTTCGTTTCCACTGAACTTAGTGGGTCATGCATGACATAAATGAATGATTCCGACCATGCACTAGATGAACCGGGTACTCACAAAAATACGGTTTGATCTTAGTCCCAGGCTTATCACTTTTTGTTGGCACACTTGCATTAGCTGTGGAATAGAAAAGTATAAACTGCACCAATGAAACAAAAAAGGGACCACCATTGATCAATTTGTCTAACTAAAACAAACCAACCAGTACAGTCGAATTTTGATTCCGGAAATTACTGTGTCCTTGAACGAGTGAAAACACTGGCTGACATTTTGAATACATTGTAGTAATCAACGGGACAAGCTATGATTTTTGCATCAAAGATCTATGGTTTTGCTGCAACACATCCTCAGTAAAAGCCGTTATTTTCATCAGTTCAAGATCATTTTCCGAAGACAAAAATTCAACAGTAGATTTTGACTGTAAAACGTTACAATTTAGTCTGACTTCAGTACCAATGAGATTGGTTTAAATTTGCACTTTGGTAATCATGACGTAGGTAGATTCATGGTTTTGAAAATTGTTAATGCTTTTGTTATCATTGATAAAATATTGATTCAAAATGTGATCATTGACTGTGATACTTATTGCTTAGCGTTAAAATGTCATGTCTTTAAAAATCATATCTTAACTTTTATTTCAAAATCTGGATTCTGACGCAGTGGTAATTAATAATTAGCCTGCCTACTGGGAATCTATTTAAACAAAGACGAACTTAAAGCAATGTTTAACAAAGTATAACGTCTCAACAATACACAACGTTACAAAACCAACCTTATACATTTACTTTAAACAACATTCTTAACTGTACAGTTTACACTTAAAGAATAACTTGGTTTTGATTTTTTTCTGTAACCTGTAGACTCGACTATAGTAAAATAATAGTAAATAAAAACATTATCGGATAGTATAATTTACAATAATGAAGTCAATATACCAGAACCTAAATAACAAGACCCGTATACCACTGTACACCTATTATTGAGGTACTTGTCAAGGCTTATTCTTCATTTAAGGTCACTGCACTTTTTTTTTTGCAGTGCACTATGCCGGACAAAACAGATTTTATTTTAATTTCTAACAGTGGCATTTTAACAAGAATGGAGCAATGTGAAATAGAGTAAATTCTGACACAATTACCTCAAAAACTTTATACTATTCACAAAAAATTAGAACATTTTTGTCACTGAAAGTAAGGTTTGAGTCTCAACTGTACTTGGCCGGAAATACTGTCAGTGACAGTGGAATATTCTACTTTTGTGAATCCAGTACAATCTCGATTAACCGATGTTGTCGGATGTAAGACTACAACTTAGTTTGACTTCAATACCAGTTAGATTGGTTTGAAAAAATAAAGACATGTGAGGAGGAAGCAAGTAAATAAGATTCCCAGGAAAATGGAGTTGAGCTAATAGGTAAAAGGAGAACAAAAGAAGACCTAGAAGAAGGTGAATTAATAAAATAAAGAGGGATGTGAAAACCTCTTGTTAGAAATCATATCTAGGTTGAGTTTTCACAATTATCTTTTCAATCAAAAGTCTTGTTATTCAGTTTCTATTGTATCAACACAGCTACAATGACGTGAATGACGTAATGTAGACTTACATAGGAAAGGTTCTGGGGGATACCGCGGGGGCCAATTCCACCCGGCTGATTGTGTTTTTGCAAAAAAATGCTCGACTTCCTCCTCTGGGCTGTTAAATGTTGGAGTTTCCTCCGTATCCATCCGGTATCTGCAGTAAAACCTGTAAAAAATATAAATTGTGGAAATATGGATACAAATATACCATTGAAAGTCGGTTGAAGCAGTTTATGTTAAAAATGTATTGTTCGTCTTGCTCAACTGGTATTTACAAAAAGGAACGAGAGCCAAACAAATTTATTTTCAAACAACTGGTTGTCACCATTAATCCTACTGGTCTGCATAATGACAAAATGGCGCATGCAATTTTGGCTCAGGCCTCAAACCAATAACATGAAGATGGCTTATCAGCCCATAACCCTACCAGACGTCTACTGTGCTTCAGTACCTAGACATTCAATGCTCAAATTTTAAAATGGGTTGTTTCATCCTACACTAAAAGACTCAAATTTTAAGTTAGAAGGAACATTTGAAATAAATACATGGTTGGTAGCTCTTACCATTCATTTAAGGTAAGGGAAAATTTTAAGGACAAAAAGAAAATGAACTATTTTTATAATTTCTGCTTACCAGTCAGGATGGACTTTCCAATTCTTCCCTTCAAAAAAGTTCAGCTTTCCTGCAACAAACACAGCTTAATTCACACTTCGATGTGATATACTCGTACATCAGAGCTGTTCAACTGACACGGCCGACAAACATGCTTTTGTGGCACAAAAAGTATTTATGATGTAATTTAATTTTCTATAAAAACAGGGAACATTCCTTAATTTCAGAAATCACAAGTTGATCACTATAAGTAAATAGTGACAGTGTACCCACACTATATGCGCTATAAGCACTGCATATTAGGTTCTGGTTTTGACTAACTTATCAATCTAATTAAGTAATGTGTATCACTTTTCCATTTTTTCCTAATATTAATGGATTATAAATACAGTAGATGTTTATTTTACAATATCATTACATGAATATCATATTTTAAAGGAAAGCCAAGTGGCTTGTTAGAATTTTTTTGAAAAGAAATCAAGTTCGAGAAAATTAGAGTCTAAATATACAACAAAACAAAACACTAAAATGTAAACCTAATGTAAGAATTTATTCATAGAGTATACTTGTGTCGCTATTGTTGTTGTGATTTTATTTGCCTACGTTCTGTATGATATGATTTGAGTAAGACAATTTTTTTCTAGACATAGTATTTATTTAAAGAATTTATGTGCAAATAGATATTTTTAAAGAAGTGGATTATGTTAATTAATTGACACCAATTACTCCTCCAAGCATTTGATGTACAGTTTTTCTTGGAGTCAATAAATTATTTTATTAGGCTAAAGAACAATTCTCTTCATTTCTCTTCAAACCTACTCTCTAAAGATGTCTTACATTTGGACAAAATATAAAGTATTTGTTTTGTGACCTGTTTTTTGTATGTTCATTAGTCCCTAGTCTTTATATTTCTAAAGTAAAATAATAATTTGAATTCTATTCATAAAAAAAAATCTTTAGATGAAAATCGGTGAGTTGTGTGACCCCTTGGTAAAATTAGTGAATTTTGCGAAGCCTTGGTAAAATCAGTGAGTTCTGTGAATCCTTGGTAAAATCAGTGGGTTCTGTGACCCCTTGGTAAAATCAGTGGGTTCTGTGACCCCTTGGTAAAATCAGTGGGTTCTGTGACCCCTTGGTAAAATCAGTGGGTTCTGTGACCCCTTGGTAAAATCAGTGAGTTCTGTGAAGCCTTGGTAAAATCAGTGAGTTCTGTGACACATTGGTAAAATCAGTGAGTTCTGTGAAGCCTTGGTAAAATCAGTGAGTTCTGTGACACATTGGTAAAATCAGTGAGTTCTGTGAAGCCTTGGTAAAATCAGTGAGTTCTGTGAAGCCTTGGTAAAATCAGTGGGTTCTGTGACCCCTTGGTAAAATCAGTGAGTTCTGTGAAGCCTTGGTAAAATCAGTGAGTTCTGTGACACATTGGTAAAATCAGTGAGTTCTGTGAAGCCTTGGTAAAATCAGTGAGTTCTGTGACACATTGGTAAAATCAGTGAGTTCTGTGAAGCCTTGGTAAAATCAGTGAGTTCTGTGACACATTGGTAAAATCAGTGAGTTCTGTGAAGCCTTGGTAAAATCAGTGAGTTCTGTGACACATTGGTAAAATCAGTGAGTTCTGTGAAGCCTTGGTAAAATCAGTGAGTTCTGTGACACATTGGTAAAATCAGTGAGTTCTGTGAAGCCTTGGTAAAATCAGTGAGTTCTGTGACACATTGGTAAAATCAGTGAGTTCTGTGAAGCCTTGGTAAAATCAGTGAGTTCTGTGACACATTGGTAAAATCAGTGAGTTCTGTGACACATTGGTAAAATCAGTGAGTTCTGTGAAGCCTTGGTAAAATCAGTGAGTTCTGTGACACATTGGTAAAATCAGTGAGTTCTGTGAAGCCTTGGTAAAATCAGTGAGTTCTGTGACACATTGGTAAAATCAGTGAGTTCTGTGAAGCCTTGGTAAAATCAGTGAGTTCTGTGACCATAAACAACCTGTTATACTACACGAGCACTCTTATTAAAGAGTTACTCACACCGACCTTTGCTCTGCTTGAGTAGATGAGTCTCCACTATACCGTCCACCTGGTATCTACCGTAATGTTCTGGTAGACTGACGACCAGAGTTAGCGGATATTTGCCTGGCCTCTCCTGGATAGGCTTATAGTAATAGTACCGCATACCTCTCATCACTCGTCTCTGAAACAATGTTAAAAAGTGTTCAGTTTCCTCATAGAGTATATATACTACTTTATAGTTTTTCCATTCTCGAGGATCAGCTGAAGACAATTTTAAGGTATATTTATTTCTTATATATATATATATATATATATATATATATATATATATATATATATAGAGAGAGAGAGAGAGAGAGAGAGAGAGAGAGAGAGAGAGAGAGAGAGAGAGAGTTTGTTTTTGATGATTTTCTTCCAACTTTAAAAAATATTTTGTAAGGTTAAAAGATAAATTTGGCAGATGTTATGGTTTTTCTCTAGCACAAAACTACAGAAAAGTAATTTTTATTTATATATAAAATTAATAACACCAGAGTCCCCATGATTCTATATGTTGGAACTGAACCACCCTGTCCCATTATCAAATTCTTTGGATCAGCCGGAATGCAGTAAAATTGTATAAAAAATTGTAACAGTGTATTTTTATAACTTTAAATGTTTATATATAGCTCCCATGATCAAGTATTTCTTATCCTTGTATCTACCATAATCATATTCTTCTTCTCTTGACACAACGATCTTACAAGAAAACCAACAGCAGAACATTAATTAATAAACTGATGGTCACAGGCTAAATGGTGATTATTGTAATCCCGGTTGACTAGACACCATTGCTAATATTTCAAAACACATAGCTTTGTTGTTTTTTCTTAAATACAATAACCTTTGACGTAAAAAATACTTGAAAAATACTTGTCACGCCATTGTATTTCTTGATTAAATCACAAATAAAGGAAATTGTCTATTGTTTATTGTCTATTGTCATTTGCTTTTCAACAGATGGTTCGGATCAGCGGGACTCTGATCTTTATGAATTTTATCTTATTTTAAAACTTTGTGTTAGTTTTTATTTATAGCCTATCCGAAACAACTATTGTGAAATAAAAGTAACTAAATACCCAAGTTATAAAATTAACAGAAAAATAAAAGATGAACATTTAAAATATTATATCACCCTTTAGTATTGCAGGACATAAAACACCAAAAAAATGTACACATTAAAAATGTTGATATTAAATGCTCTTACCAATCCATCCAAATGCTGTTTCATGGGGAGAGATATTGAGCCAGTGGTGTTTCCCCTAACTAGCTTTCTGCGGAACTGTGAACATCAAAGTTTTAAGGTCATTCATTATTTCACAAAAGAATAAAATAGCTTTAACTACAAAAAAAAGCAAAAGATTTTTATAATAATATCTTGAGTAAAAAATGAAATCCATACAATGGACACTTATATTCTTTCGTCCCAAACACTGGTAAAATTCATCACCCCACATAATTTCTTTTCCACCATTTCATTCTTACCTCTAACAATTTTTCGTTGAAATCCAAAGGATCTCGACCATCGTCCATCAGTTCAACATCGGTCATGTCAATAGCATTGTAGTTGGGTTTTAAGATCCCTTGAAACTGAAAAAAGCACATTGATCACTTAACCAAACCAACTTTTGACTATGATGCAATTTAATTAAAATAAGAATCATATAATACAATGTAGAAACTGTGTGTTGCAAATACAAAGGAATTTTAGAACTCGGGGTGAATAGTAAGACAGCATGACTAACAATTGGCAATCTATTTTACTTCTAATATTGTACAATGTCCAATTTGATGGGATTCTGTGCAAGGAAATCTTATTTAGCACTGGTATTATTTTGCTGGTATCATTTTGGAATTTATTATGAAATATACATTATAATTTTCAACTGCAATACTTGTTTTCATAAGTGTTTTTAAACTAATTGAATGAGTTGGTTGCTAACAATCGGAAAAGAGTAACAAATAAATCACCACTTAAGCTTATAAACATTGACTAACCAGTGCAAAGTTAACCCTGTCCCTAATCAAAATAAATTCTACTTAACTTATTTTATTATTTCCTATGCTCAATTTAATTTAGTAAACCTTTTTCAAGGATTAGTTTTTGGGTCTCAAATTAAGGCATGAAAACAAAAATGAGTAAAGAGGCTCACCACTGGTCGCCAGTCTGGATGCACCAGAATGTAACCATTATTGGTCACAATGAATGCATAAGCATTGACCCCCAGCTGAAAAACATAATATAAGTTTCAAGGTATGACAATCAAACTTAGTCGTAACAAAGGTTTGAATATTAAACTGTAAACGTGAATATGTTTATATTTTTGCCACTACGTACAGTAAGCAGCTGGTTTCTGGTGTCTTTGCAGACCAGAATGTTGTTTACAGAAGAAGATCGGTAAAATCAGCAGTCTAGTAAATTGAGTGAGCACTAACTCTTAAAGGCAGTGAATGAGTTGCGCACGCCCTACTTAACTACACAGCGTTCCAAGCGGTGTATGCCAGAACTTATGCTAACCACAGCACTGCTGTTGGTCTATATTTAATTCTATTTGTCTATGGTCTAAGTGTAGATGCAATGCTGAAAGACATATTTTACCATATCCGTACAATACCACTCCAGTGGAACCTGGATATCAAGATAACAATTGTAGTAGTTTTATAAACCCCCTTGAATTTTTTTACCCCTAATCACATGTTATTATTTCAAACCTTAATAAGAAGTCAACCTTGATAAATCTCCATAAGAGTTTTGTTATCGAGGTTCTACTGTACAAAATGCTAGTCAAGGAATTATTTACATGAGAATGTCGTTCTCTCAAAAAACAAATTTTTATACTAAAAATGATTCTATTTGTTAATTTCTTCACTGATCAAAGAAATGCCCCTGTTTCGATATTTCTGCTGCCCTTCCTTCAGTGATTCTGTCAAGGAAATATTGACTATTATCACACACAAATCAGTATTTTTTTTTAACTCACCCAGTGAGGAGCGAGCAATGAGTTGATTTCTTCAATTGGAATGTCCGTACCAGCTACTCCTAACAAATAGGCTACCTTCATCTATAAAAATAAATATTTGTATTAATTTATATTAGTGGAGAAAAAAGTATCTAACTTTTCAAAAGATTAAAAACAGAGGTTGAGCTGAACAGAATGCTCTCTATCTTTAGTAGTAACTAATTTCCATTCCAAAAAGACCCCACAAAAAAGAATATCACATACAAATCAGTTTTTTTTTTTTTTTTTATATGAGCCTCAAAATCTTTTAACAGTGGGTTAAATTTAAGGATTTACTGTACCGGTAGTTAAAAAATTCAACAGAAGTAGTTAGTACAGTAGTTGTAAATTAATTTGAATTTTCTTCCTAGTAAGTAAAAAACTGAACTACCGTAGTAAAATATTTTGAAACAACAGTAAACAATATCACACAAAATTACAATTAGAGTGTTTTATAAAAAATACAGCATGTAAATATTGATTACAAAGTGTGGTAAAAATTAGATAAAACCCTACAAAAGTTGAGTTAACACTTAATTGTAAGAGTTACTTTTATAACTGTTTAATCCTAACTCCAAATTAATAACATTGTTGAAACCATACATTTCATAGATTAAAGTGGGTAGTCTACTACCATTGACTTTATATCTCTACACCTACTACTGTATGATTGAGTAAATACCAACTAAAGATGAATTAATTGCTTATGGTAGTTTAGTAAAATACTTTCTCCATATACTATGTATAGGGGGAGAAAGTAAAAAGATACAGTTCATTTACTTTTACTCAGATGGTTATTGATTATTGGTTATTTCAATTTAAATGAGTATAGCTTCTGAAAAGTAATAGTAGTATCCAAAACATTAGTTAATAAAATCTTCTGTGTGAAATAAGCATTGGTCTTCTAAGAATATTATTAGTATAAAGGACTTTCTTTAAAATTTATCCAGAAAGGTATCCATGCCTTTCTTTCTACCTATAATATTTGTATTATAGGTATCCAAAAATAGTTAAAAATTAAAACTTTTAACATTTGGTACTGGATTACTGTGTTAGTAAGCTGACAAACCAAACCATGTTATTGGTAAAAAGAGGTGACTTTCGATGCTTTAAAATATTTTACAAAAGTCATTCAACGTTTCTAAAAAAATTAGGACACTACTCTTAGGCCATTTAATAATTTTGAATTGTTAGTAAGCAATGAAAAAACTAATCTTAATCTTATAAAATTAAGTAATTTTTTTTGTTATATTTACAAAATCTTTGTTATATTTAACTTACTTAAAATAAAAGTATACCTACCATAAGTTCTCCTTAACACTGTAAGAACTAAAGTAATTTAGAGGAAATACTTTTGTTACAAAGTAAGGTATATGACAGCATGTACACAATTAACACAGTGCAAAAATCAACTGTGGATTATTAATCCATCAACTTCATTTGTGTGACAAAAGTGTGTTAAATTGATTTATAGGTGACAGATTTTGTGAAAACATTTTACACAAATTTAAAATCTTGGAATTAGACTACTAAAATACTTATTCCACAAGTTTAGAATAGTACACACATTTAACTACTTTAACCAAGAGTGTTTAATTTTACAAATATTGGAAATCAAAACTCGAAAGGTAGTGCACTCTCAGTAAACACAGATCTATCTGAAAGTGTGGAAAGAATTCACATCACACAGTATAAGTTCTGCTTTACAGGACAGTAATATAGCCTAAATACTATAAGATATGTTTGACATATGCACACAAACACAAACAAACACACACAGAATACCACAAACACATGAATAAACACAGCAATAGAGGGCAAAAGCTGCGAAATACCGAAGGGAAGCTTTACACACAGGTCTCGATTGGTAAGCTCAGGCAAGAGTTAGTTTCATAAGCAATTGACTTCAAACTGCGAAAACGTGAGATTTTGTCAGCGAATCAACTTTACAGACTTTTGGAGGAAGTCGGATTTACCAGCATACTAAGTATTACATAAGCTTGGAAATTATACCAGCAGTCTTCAAGTAGAGGTAAAGCTTGCATCTTATTGGTCAAATTTGGCAATTTTAGTCTAAGTACATACAAACCTCAATTACCTTTGGCTAAAGCTGAAAGCTGATTATATAGCATATTGAAGCATATACGTTATATTTACTTCAATTTAAAAAGAGTTAAAGTATCTCTTTCAATCATACAGGATGGTTGTTTAATACAATTAAATTCACACAGTTGTATTCACCAATTACTTTACTTGATGTTATGTCATAGATTAAAGAGAGTAACGCAAGGCAGCGCTTAACAATGAAACCTCCTTCACAAATTTTGATTATTTTTGGTGAAACAATAAAAATTGCAAATAGAAAAACACATAGAACTGAAACAAGAATATTGATCGAAACTAAAAAAAGGTTGATTTCAAACTAAAGATAAGTTAAATAAATACTGATTGCAAAAGATAAAAATTTTGATTACAAATAAAAGAAATACTGATTATAAGTGACAAAAAAAATATTGCGAAATATCTCAAACTGGATAAATAATTAAGACACTATATCAGTTCTTTAGGTGATGATTATTTAACTTTTTAATATTTAATAAAAAATGTCTCTTAACTTTCAATTCAAGCATCATAAACAACATGAAACATTGAATTGAAATTACCATAACCATAAGGAATCAATAAACTATGTCTTTTATGTTTGTTGAGTTGAGAAAAAACTGATAGGACACTAATCAGAAAATGGCAAAATTCTTTTAAAATTTCTCTTTACAAAATGACTATTGGGCGATTTATAAAAATAATTATAGCAAAAATTCTTTATTCAACTTTTTGTAAATAAATAATAAAAAAACATTAGCAGAATAGCGTGAATGTCTTATTCGTATAATTTACAAAACTGTTTACAAAACAAAAATCTGATAATAAATACGGAAATTGCAAGTGGTACAAATTTTCCACAGAGGTGCTGCTATATATCGGGCCAGAAACACAACATTTTCAGGGATGTTTAGCCTTAAGCCACAAAAACAACAGGGTTATGAAGTCTGCTGAGCTGAAAATAGTATAGCATAGCATATACCTTAAGTTAAGACTGCAGTTTTATAAATGCATTGGGCAACAGATAACTTAATGAGCTGTTAAATGAGAAAAAAAGTTTGTTGATCAAACTGATAAATAGCCATAAAATATATTTATAAAACTATAAAAAAGAAGTTATTTAAAAAAGATAAATTTATTGTACTGTAATGTGTTATCAAAATTGTAACTACTAAAAATATTCCCTGATAATATGAAAAGAATATTTTTTACAGTGTCAGTAATAAAAATTTGTATTTTAAAAAACTATGATTTTATAAATTAGTTTATTCTTTACGGAATGATATACATTTTAGTTAATGTGCTAACTATGGGTCTGGATTGTGAATAATGATATTGGCAAGATGAAGGAGCTTGGTAGTAAACAGTAAGTGCGATGATAAAGTTTTCTTCACTTCAATTTGTCCAAATAGATGAAAGTACAGCCCCAACAAATTAAACAAATAAAAAAAATTACCCATTTCCAAATTACAGATACAATCTGAAAAATTGTGTTTATTTAAAAGACAAATATTAATCCTTTCCAATAAATTTATTTGTTATAGAAACCTTAAAAAAATCAATTTTAAAATAGCTTGAACTGCAAAGTATAAACATTTTAAATGTGGTTTTTACAACCACAAAAATAAGAAGCAAAACAAAGAGGCTCAAACAAATATTCAAATCCATATAAGTTGATGCAACAATCTCGGATATTATGAACAATTTAGTGATATGAAAAAAAATACCCATGAATACTCATTTACCCAAGATTATAAAAAGTTTTACAAAACCAAAAATTAATCTTCAATCAATCTTCAATTGAAGATTAATCTTCAATTCATCTCAGTGATAGATATTTATTAGAAAGAATACTAAATGTGAATTAAAAATTAAAACCTCCGAATCACTGATCAAATGTTAACTGCTTTTAATTACCTATCTGCCAGGTGATCAAAATTACTCAAATTGGCTATCAACTCTATGTGAGCTTGCCTATTCAATTAATTTAGATCATTTGGCAGATAAGGTAAAACCAGTTAACACCAAATATTGATTCATACAATTTAAGCATACCATCAGTGAAAACACCCTTCAAAAAATTCCAACCTAAAACCAGCTTCCCAATTCCATGCGATTCCAAGCAAGTCGGTAAACGGAAAGTGTGGCGGACAAGATATCGATGCAAAAAAAAGGTGTAAACAATTTAGAAGGGCAAGTTGTTGTGCGTTATATGCATGTGCAAGCTGGAAGCGGCGAGATAAGTGACATATACACACCCAAGCTCGACGTTACCTGTGTAGGCTTAGGACAGGTTGGGTCGTGTTCACTGCAATCTCTGCCAATTTTAACATTCTAAAAATAAAACTTGTGGTTATGTAGTTGTCACCTGCAATGTGTGTGTTGCTTTGTCGAATTACCGTTTTCGGTTTCGGGTGCGAGTGTGCGTGGTCGATTGTGTACGTCGTTTGAAATAAAATAGGTTTCCACGTCCAAATTGGACTGTTAGATCTTGGTTTTCAGAAGTAGTTTTGGGTTTTAAATTGTCAAAAATGTTGGTAGTTTCAGATCCATTGCGGAAATCCATCAGGACAGGCTACTCAGTTGAAATATAACTCGACAGAATTGTAGCTTGTCCCGAAAAAGATTGCTAAAATGCATCTGAAGTGTGCTGTATTTTCGCCAGTTCTGCCAAAGACTTAGATTCCACATTGTTGAACATAGAGGTTATCAATAGGGCTTAAGTGTGTTTGATAGGTTACGGTAAGCGAAGTTTGATACTGTCAACACTTAAAACATCATATGCTTTGAAGAATGATTAGTATCAGTAAGTATTCAGTATTTAGTAAGTAGACATCTAATCAATATAAACCAGTTCTAGCCGTCTTTTCCAATTTATATTATTCGAGTTGTACGAGCCTCATAGCGTGTGCTACAGTCAATGTTGTATTACCTATATTGGTTTTTGATAGTTTGTGCTATAGAAAATGCTTAAGTTATCCTTTCATTGTGGCTTGGTTAAAAAATTGGTGTATTCGACATAATTTAGCAATCAACAGCAGTGTTTTCTGTCGGTGGTACAATTCAACCGTGTTGTTTTTCATCCTAATTCTGGCTTCAACACAGGACAGGTATGTCTTTTAAAAGATCAATGTTATTCCCTCTCAGAGTTTTTAAGAGGAGAAGAAAATTGTATTTTAGTTTGTAAGCTTATGTTTTATGTCTTTTATAACCTTTAACTATCTAAATTCTTGATTTTTGCTAGTACATATAAAACGTCAATGGCAAATAAAGATTTATATTTATATTTCAACTTTAATCAATGGACAAAGATTATCATAACAGCCTGAGGCCAAAAAGCCAACAAAAATACAATCAACTTGAATGTAAAAATTAATAACGTTTTTTAGTGAAAGAAAATGAAATAACTTAGGGGTTTAGGGTTTTAGGGGGAGGGGACTAGAGAAACCTGAAAATCGACCTATCAGGAAGGTCTACAGGAAAATGGGACGGTACAGAATCAAGGAGCTTACACCTAAGAACAAAATATATCCATACGATTACATGAATAATCAGAAATAATTCTAAGATGCCAATATCCTTAGTACCATGTTGACCAAATACGTTGGATAGAAGAAAGCATATGTATATCTTAGACAGTAGCAAACTCTAGCTTTACCAATTATCAAACACACAAGGATTCACAGGCTTCAAACGTGATGGGAAGTCTCTTTAGGTTAGGTATAGTCAAAGGCAAAACCATTTTAAAGTGTTTCTATTAGATCAGTCGGAATGTACGATTATGTCAACCCCAACTCCAATACTGTGTGACTAATGTGTGCAGCTACTGTAAATATAATTCAAAAGCTAAAAAGTGCAGGAACTCTTTAACTATTTTGAGTACAAATTTCGACAAAATAAACCCAATAACTACAATCTTGTTGCTCCTGCTCAATGCTTTCATGGACATTTATTGTTTTGATTGAAAGATAAGGCCCTTTTTATTTTGAAGTCTAAAAAGTGTATAAAACGCAAAAATATTGCCAAAAAGTTGCTTGTATAGTTGAAGACACAACATAAGCAATCCTTTCACTCCATTTTGCATAGGGGATTTTACCAACTGTGTACAGTATATAGAATAGGCCTAGTAATTAACCAAAGGAAAAATATAAATGAAAATGAGAATGAGGAGGAAAATGCTCCTAAAAGTTGTTGAGAGTAAAAGTAGGAATAATATTGGAGAAGGGTTTAAAAAACCTCAAGTGGTTGATTATGATTTCACAAGTTACAATTAATATTAAACCTTTTAGTTAGGCCTACAAAAACATTAATTACGGTGTAATATTGCACTAGTATGTGTTAAATTGAGTGCAAATATGAAAGCGAAAACTAATGGTTAACAAAAGACTATGAAGTTTACAACATAAGTGACATGAGTTTTATGTATTCTTTTCAAAATTTAATCATCCAAAAAACAATTTTACAAATTATGGTTTGCTAAGGAATAAACAGGAGCTTGATACCTTCTAAACACAAAACACATTTAAAACGTCTAAGTTTCTAGAAACTCTAATCTAAGGTAACTTACTATTTATCTTTATATAGGTTGGAAATAAAACCATACACACAACATTACCATTTACTAGAATTACCTGAAAGAAGTAAATTTTTCACAATCTAACATCAATAAATATATACACCCAAATTGTTATCACCGAGGGCCAATTTTCTATCTAACTATCCAAGCAACCACACATAATTTAACATGTACATATTCTAGTCTAAAACTAGTATCGTGGTCCTACGATACACCTTATCTGTTACAAAAGTCGGTAGACTGTAACGACAATAACAGTGAATAATCGGAAAAGCTGATGACTATCTAATGGTAATAAACGCTATACTATGGTAACTGACGCTACGCTACTAGAATTCCAAGTACTGGGATGTACTGATCTAGATCACTTTTGTGTTTCGTACAATACCTCTTGGGTACGAGATACCCAGAATGCCTCATTAATCAGAACACGTTCGGTAATATTCTGTTGGAAGGATGGTTAGATTAGTGAGAGTCATCAACACTTCCCCCCTGACTTAGAGGATGCTTATGTTCATAGAAGAATTGTCTAAGTGTAACATGTTTTAAATAAAAAGTAGACGGCTTAAAAATATTTACTTTTACTGGTGTGTTAATTTTTATAGTGTACAAATAAATTGTGAACTAATGATGTAACGTAGGGCACAATGAGCCTAGGTTACGGATAGTTATTGGAATAGCAGGCTTACCTGAGTGTATAGAATCTATCCTGACACAAGACACAAAAAATCTATATATAAAGAGAAAAAAATATTTAATTTTTGCTGATAGAAATTTGAACCAAGGAAGGTTTGAGTTGAATGAAACCTTTCTTTCTTGGTTGAAAAATCTGTCACTGACAGTGAAATATTCTAATCATTGTATATAGTGTACATTTTTTTACTTCTGACAGGCAAACTTTTCTCATCTAGCTAAGCCTGCAATCTCAACAAAAATAGTTCAATTTAAAAAAAAATGTTGCAGTTAAATGCAAAATCGAGTATTCAATACTGTTTTGTTATCCATGCTAGTTTAACATTTTAATTAAAGGTGTAAGCATTTAGCAAAATTAATTTTCCTGGAGGTTTAAGTTTAACCAAAAAGGTTTAGAAAATTGTCATGTAAATAATATATTATGGTACTATTTAATGCATTTGTGTGTTAAATTGTTAGTTATATCAAAAGCAGCTTTTTTTAAGAGTCCTCATTTTCCTTACAAACCATGATTATTATGTTATTATTTTACATTCTTTCTTTTACAAATGTAAAGTTCACTAAATTGTTATTTCTATGATATGTTGAGTTTCAACACTACTACAACAAACCTACCAAAACATAGAAAATATAATTATTCTTAAAACTTCTTACTTACCAAATATACCAAGTCACTAAAGTCTTGAGACATTTGTCATAGATTATAGATTACAGTGAAATAAGTCATAAAACAATAAAAAATATACCAATTCTTCATTGTAAAAACAAATTATTTTGAGTTTGTTATAAATGGATCTTGCTAAAGATTTGTATGTTTCCGATTATTTGAACACGGACTGATTATTTTGATTCATTGTGGACTTTTATTGTAAAGTCCAACAGTTATTTTAGTCAACTAAAATTGTATGTGCTGAAAACCTTTGATTTATTGATTTTGAAACTAATTTACCGGCTAAATAATTACCTAAAAACAGTAAATAAATAGGATTGCTATAAGGTTTTTAATTTTTGACCCCTGGAGGTTTTTTCTCTTGATTCAATTTTGCGACTACACTTATTGTGTTTTGTTATTTAATTATTAGTTACGGTAACTGTTTGCATAATCAAACATAACTTTTGAGCCATCCAAGTTACAATTCAAATTTTTGAATAAAGAACTATGTTTTTCACTGCCATATATGTAACGCTTTGACGCTTTAATTTCGTAAAAATGTGTATTCCACTTCTTAAAAACAATTGCTGTTATAAATATGTTTTTTAATCCAACAATGAAGAAATCTTTTGTAAAAGCATCTTCTGATTCTTGGATAGTTATTCCACATTAATTAAGTTTTTTCTGTGTAAAATTTCAATATAAGGCCATTCTAATACATTTAACTATTGTTAACCTTTTAAAACCCTTTTAAAACTTTTTACATATAATAGTATAAAACAAAAATTGTAAAATTTAAGTATCAGAAAACTGGTCACACACTAAATTAGGGATTAAGATTTAAATACTAGCCAGGGATAAAACTGTAGTTGTACACCAAAGTAAAAATAAATTCATTGTAAACAGCCATTAACACATATAGTCCATAGATTAAAACATTTCCTGTTAAACAAAGCCGGTTTAATGCTCTGACTATATTTTTCATCACAAGAATCTTGAGGAAGGAACACACAAGAAATACACGAAGGCAGGTAAACTTGGCAATGTTGGCATACACTGACATAGGCTTGGACAAAAGTAAGCAACTTTGGAACTTAAGAAGATATACCGGTACTTTAAATTTATTATTTATTATGTATTTCTGTCAGTGAATTGAAAAGTGACTTTTTCACAGTGAATTAAAAAGTGACTTTTTCACAGTGAATTAAAAAGTGACTTTTTCACTAAGCATTTCTGGAGAACAATTTTCTACTAAATTACCAAAGTAAATTACTCACCGCGGTTTCCCTCCTGTCAAACACAGGCATTGATACGGATGTCATAAACCTGTACTTTTTTGTATCTCCTGGTGCTTGATCTTGGATCTAAAACAAAATTATTTTAAATCCAATTTTGTCATCATGTGTTATAAGAGACTCTTACAAGGACTGTAAAGGAACTAACACTCATAACTTTAGATTTCTCTGGCACTGGTTAGAAATGTGCCCTGGTAAGCCACGAGAAAATGCATTTTTTCATGGAAGGCTTGTATAGTTATGTGAAATCATAAAAATAATATCAATACCAAAATCAGGTTATGGCATTAGTTGGTAAAGATGTCATCTGGCTTTTGTAGATTTTGTGTTGGATCTAGAGCTACGGTAGTCGTTTAGAAAATTCAATTTTTCATGTGAATATCTGTACTTTCAACTACATATTTTCAAATCCAATCATGTTGTCCATCTTATCCGTATCCACCACATTCTTTATTACTGAACCCTTGTGCAATAGTTTGTATGAGGTTTATAACAGAAAAAAAGTAATTATCAATCCTTTTGATGAAACAGATTAGAGAAATTTCAATCACAGAAGGGATCCTTTGATAGCCTTTTAGAAAAATCCTTAAAATTTTCACTATACTGGATTTCTTGTTACCAAAAAATCTTGATGAGCAGCACACATTTATCATCCACTAATGAGCTTTTCAATCTTTATTCACTATATTCAATACTTACCCTCCTCAGCTTTTTGATGTTGCGTCTTTCTTGTTCATCAGGCTCCATAAATCTTTGGCGATCTTTCCTGAAATTCATGGACCTTTGCTTTTGTTCCTTGCATTCTTCTTGTTCCCAAAGGTAATCAGTCATTGATGGATCCTATTTGGAAACATACAGAGAAAAATACTGAAATTGAATTCGTATAGCTTTGAAGCTATATACAAGTATTTCAACCATTTTTCAAGACAACAGTGCACAGTTGAATGTGTAAGATGAATTTGAGTGAAGGTTAGGTTTAGAATGAAGTGTAGGCCTATTATTCACTTAAGTGTGGTTTAGTAACCAAGTCCAGCTGTTTCTTCAGACAGAGCATTTTGTAAGCCTGGTGATAAACAACAGCTGAGCTCAGTTTTAAAAAATACCCCCGCCGCAGCAAATCTGCAGACTAAGCGAATTTCAACTTGTTTGATTACATTTTTACTAAAATAATTCCATAAATACTAAATAAGACATATTTATTCCCAATTTAAATAACATTAGATTTAACGAGTGGTTAGGTTTGCTACTACAGGGAAGGTAAAACGTGTTTTTTGACCATAGGTTGATAGTATAGGATGTAATAAATAAATTTGCCAAATTTTATCAACATATCTCCATTAACAAGTAAACTATAACAGTTTTAATTTTCTCCATAAGAATAACATGGGATTTTAAAATACACTTTATTTTATTTTCTCCGTGACCGTTAGGCATACAAAATTATTTCTTTTTGTAAGCTCTAGCAAATGGTTTGGAAAGAAATTGCAAAAATGTTTGTTTTTATACTCAACAATGGGAAAAATTCATTTTTAATTCAAATTTCATATGAATTTGAACGGATGGCGTTTTTGGCCCCTGGAGCATCAAAATGAAAAATTTAATCGGTTCCGGGCCTAGATCTTACCGTCCTACCTACGGTAATAGCTATTTCCCTAAAAGCAAGCCTTTAAACCCTGGGGATATTCACTGATTTTAACTATTCCGATTTATATTTGGTTTTTTCAACATAAGTTCACAAACAGGTAGTAAATTGCTGATGAGAGGTGTACTTACAATGAATCAACCCATTACATCAACGCCACAGAGCAAACCACCGGAACTCACCTGAATAGCCAAATGGTTATACTTGCCTTCAAATTCAAAGTCTCTTGGTTCCACCCTCAGATGCCATTTTGTGATTGTAATGAATGAATGAATGAATGTAATGAATTGAGTTAATGGTGGTATCTAACAAAAGTATAATAATATAAGACCACAGGTCGGACTGTTTTACCGTAATAGCTATTGGGGTTCAAACACAAAAAATAAAAATTCTCACTTACAGTGATGTCAGCGTAGACTGATGTCCATATGACAGGATGGATGTCTCTATGTAGCACCATGGGTCGAGCCATCACAGGTACATACTGTAGTACTTGCTCTCTCACCTCGGCTAGAGTGCTGAGATGTACATAGTAGCCTGTCGATATACACCAGATTATAAAAGATGGTACAGATTTATGTTTTAAGGGAATGCAGCTCTTACCCCTCAAATGTTAGTGGATATTCTAGGATTAAACCTGTCCCTCTTGTACCAATGTCCGTGATCAACTAGTAATGCCTTTTTTGTAAACCTTAGGCTGGAGATTTTAAGCGATGGTCATTTTGTTGGTGGTGACACAGGAGTGAGATGTTATGATAATTACAATGACAGGTGAAAGAAAAATAAAATAATGGTAAGGTAAGGATGATGATAAAATATTACAGGAGAGAGTAAGGAATGAATAGATCAGGGTAGATGAAGACAGCTTAAGAGGAAGAGTAGAAAAACACTGTAAAGCCAAAAACTTTTTGGACCTAAGAGAAGAGTGCAAGAGGAGAGGATGTGTAAGGCATGGAGGTGTTGGTGCTAGGGATAAGGAAATTACAAGACTTAGAGAAGGCTGATAAATGAGTTGAAGAAGGATTTGGAGAGAAGGACCAGAGTGAGACGGCAGAAGGTAGATGAAAAACTGAGGATGGATTGAGAAATATGTGATTGAGGAAATGTGACTGAGAGAAAGACCTATAAGAAGGAGGAAAGATTAGGTAATGAAGGATGTGAAGAAAGAGAAGTAAGAGGGCAGATTAAAGAGGCTGAATGGGTGAAGAAACATTGTGATTGAGGGAAAGGAAAATTGCGATAGATGGAAGGTGACTCAGAGGAACACTACCTGTACTGTAAGAAGGAGGAAAGATGATGTGAAGAAGGATGTGGAGAAAAGAGGAACAAGATGACAGATGTTGAAAGGAGATAAACAGTCTATCGAAAAACATTGCCATTGAAGGAAGGTGAATGAGAAAAAGACCTAGAAGGAGAAGATGGAATGAACCTAGTCAGAATCCTAGTCAACTCCCACAACCAGTAATAATCAGAGCACAAGAAGATATACACATGCATGACGGCGATGAAGATTTCTCCACTTGACCTTGCACTCACCTCTGTTGGCACAGGCCATCCACTTCACCTCCCGTACGTCAGCCACCTCCTTGCCCAACAGGTAGGTGAACACTCGCACAGGCATGTACGGCAGATTCCTCCAGTTGTACAACTCAAAGATCTCCTTGTAATTATAAGGCACACCGTCCGTGATCAGCATGATGGCTTGGTTACAAGCAGCGCCCATGCGGTTCTCACGATACTGAGCAAAATTTGATTACCTTAAATTTTAAAGTGTTAAATTTTTAAGTGTTGCAGATATTTCTATGCATGCAACAAACTTATGACTTCAAAATAACTGTCAAATAGGACCAAAACAATACTATTATCAGATCATTGTTGCTCTATGGAGAAGAGACATGGAAATTAGATGAAGAAGGAGTAAAGGAAATTGAAAAAGGAAGGAGGGTGAAGGAGAACAAAGTTTAAAGAAGATTGATAGTGTTTGACAATGATTTCAATTTCAAACTCGGCATGTTTTGAGAAGGGGTCACAATAATCTTAAACATCATTTTCCATATATCTTCGGTAAATATTAAAACCAGATCATTCAGTAGATAAAATACTATGCGTTATAATTTCTCCTACAAAATGAAAGATATTTTGTTTCAACAAGATAAGTGGTATGCAAACTATATAAAAATATGAAGACGAAGTATTTTTTTTTAAACCAATTATTGACATTAACGTTACTTACTTGTTGCAGAATATCAAAGGCAGTAGTAAGTGCTGTGCTGAAGTTTGCAATGTATTGAGCATTCCCCATCTCTCTCATACCCATTTTAAGTTCTCGGATGTTCTCTAAGTTTGCCTGAAATGAAAAAAAAAACACATTTTAATCTCAAGAACGGGAGGGGCAATAACTAAAATGCTCAAGAAACAACAGTTTTAATTTTAAAAAAAAAACGTTTGCGTCCTTTTCCCATAACTGAAGCAAGTTCTCGGAGTTCCAAGATACCTCTAGGTTGCACTACTATACTTACAAAAATGTTACTCGTAATATATCTCAACTTTACTTCTCAAACATTATTTTGTACATCATTTTTAAGTGTGAAAGTTTGCCTCAACACTTCACGCCTTATATTACCATAATTACTCATACTTCATTCAAACTCTAACTGATAATTTACCCTGACTTTGCCTATGGCCTGCCTGTGCTTATAGGGGCTAAATAACTGAATGTTTTTATTTAACCAAATTTACCTGTACGAGCATGTCCTTATAGCACTCCACCACTTCCTTTGTGTCGTTGACGAAGGACATGATGTTGACAAAGTCGTTGTTGCCTAGTGTATCCAGAATACTGTTCACCACGTGTCTCGCAATCTCTTTCCGCTGACCCATCATCGAGCCTGAGTTGTCCACCAGGATCAGCACGTCCTTTGGGCTCGTAGCTGCCTCAATGTACCAAGCTCTTGTGCGACAATCGTATAAGTCCACTGGGTCCACCGACCAACCCGTGGCTATAGAAATGAACAAGATCATCTAGATTAACATTTTCGTACAGATACAACACACATTATACTCCTAGGTTGTAGCAAGGGTTGGAATCAAAATTATAGAAAAAGCTGCAAATTACTCATTTCTGTATCACCCCCAAACTAAGTGAAGCTAAACTGAAAGTTTAACTTATTCTATACTATAGTAACTTTTTGGTCACATAATCAAAATTAATAATGACAAATGAAGAAAATTTAAAAGCCATAGCTCACTGCATGTGGCTCATTGAACAATATAACTATTTGTTATGAAAAATACTTTGACAGAATAAATTGCACAAACTTGCACCAACTAAGGAATCATCAAAAATAACATAATACCATCTAGTAGGCGTTTAAGATGTGCTCAGAGAACTATCTCGGAATAGGAGTAAGTGTCTAAGTAGTACAATGAATAGATGACAAAATTAGTAGTTTTTGGGGTTGCCAAATTAAATATGGATAAAGTTCAGAGCACAAGATACAAGATACAAGAACTTTATTGTTAGTAAAATACATAATGTGGTACATTAGTAAAAAAATCTTACCAAAATTTGAAAGTTTGGATGTTTGTGAGTGAATCACATGGCAAATCACGAAAAACTAATGGACCAATTATTAAGCTGAAATTTTGCAGGAATATAGCCAAAATATCAAAGATTGACAGGTCTACTTTTATTTTTAAACTCTTGTATTAGATTGTATAGCTTACACTATGTGTATAAGGAAACCATTATTGTACCTGGGAATTGACGCATGAAGCCGGTTGAGCTGCCAAAATATTGCCACGATAAACTGGGATCTCTCTTATAGTTGTCCTTGAACGTTAACTCCAAACGTTCTGACCATTTGATAGCATAAATTACTTCTTGAGCTGAAAAGTGAAAAGTATTTTATAAAAAGAAAAAAGAAATTGTGTACATACCTCAGGTCCCACACAGATGGCCTAATGGTCTGGGAAGTAGTTATGGTGCTCACCTTTAAATCTAAAGCAAAGCCTTTATAATATCTATTATCTTTTTAAAAAGTTTACTTTGAACAATTGTAAATAACGTTTTGAGTACAGTAACTAGTTAGAACTTTGAATAATTTAATTACAAGTTGAAAATAACAGCTAACAGGTGAGTCAGTGGCTCAGTCACGGACTTTGGGCCCAAGGCATGTTGTGGGTTTGGATTCTGGTACTTGCAACTAGTGTTTATCAAAACAGTTCACCATTGTACTGTACTGGCTCATCCCTTGCTTTACTGGATATGTTTCTTGCACAGGCTCAAGGCCTATGTGGACGGGCAAATGCAAGGTTAAAAGAAGCCCCAACCTAATTAAAAAAAAATCCAGATAGCCTAGCAATGGGCACACCACAGTCAGCTAATCTCAGCAAGATATTGTGATATGTTAAAATCAATGTCAAATAAATAGTCTACCTTTTAGCCTCCTCAATCCTTAACGCTTTCCGATGACCAGAGGTTTCAAGGTTAAGCTCACCTCATTTTAACAACGATTAAGTAACAATAGGTGTTCATGACAGCGAAAATGAGAGATTTATATGCAGCATCCAAAGCCTTAAAACATAGTCATCGGAAAACTACAAGGATTGACCAAAAGGTAAAATACTGGTAACCTCTTTATTTTTAAAGTTAAACAGTTCTTCACTAACCTCTATCGTAAACGTTGGTTGGCACATGAACTGAGCTGACGTTAGTGTTGACAGGAAAGTCATAGAAATGTGTGTCAGGAGTAAGCAGAAGTTCTCGCGTGCCCTTGGGGTCGTCTCCGCTCAGGTTGAGTTGTCCGGGCGGACGTAGCAATTTGGCACTGTAATACTCGTATGAGTTGGGCACTGGCTCATCGGGGTTGGAATCTACTGCTGCATTTTCTGCTGTGTCCACTATACGCTGAAATATCAAAACAATATTATTCTAGTGCCATAAACTAACATTGACTTTTGGATATTGAAGTACACATATCCCATATGGACGAGCTGTAGCTAATCTTTCATTAAAAAAGAACTAAGTCAATCACTAAGGGCCACACTTTTTCAAGATAACACAGTCAATTTGGAAATCATTCTCAGACATGTCACTGTGAGACTCAGACATGATGTCTTGATTATCTAAACTGATGGGCTAAAGGGGGAAAACCCAAAAATGTGTAGGCTATATTTTACTTTGTTACTAACTTAAATAGTCCTCATTTGTATATTTATCCTAACTTGTATTATTTTTTCTAAAATAAGATTTTGTAATATTTTGACTAAATATTTGGAATAAAATGAATTTGAATTTGAATCTAGTTGATAGCATATGAAAGGCTCAATAAAATCTTTAATGAATCACAGCAAAATACTCAACTCACCTTAACTGCTTCCACTTTATGACTCATCATATTTTCCATTTCCCTCACTAGCTCACTGACAATCCTAGACCCTTCTCGGGACTCCACTTTGGCGTCTTTAAAGCTCTGAAAAAAAATTCAGAATTGATTATTCCATTAGAGTAGTAGGCCTAGTGATTTACTAAAATACATTTGAGGTTGACATTATCAAAATAGATATCACAAGTTTCATGAATATACCGGGTATACATAAAAGAAGTAAACAACTTCGACATCAATTTAACACAATCGTTTCTGACATCACTGCTGTTAGTACAAGGCCACACTAACTAAACAGGACGTAATGCTCCTTAGGCATGACGTCATGTTATTTTTTTAGTTACAGTATATTTTTGTTTTCCAAGAAAAGATTAAAACAAGCAGCTGGTCACAAAAGGCAAAAATTACGTCATTGCCGTCACCTTTGATGACCTCATACCAGAGGAGCATTACGGCCTGTTTATTTAGGGTGGCCTTGGTTGGTATCACTGGGTTGGAAAACACCTCAAGTTTTTCCCACACATCTGACTATTGTTAAAAATGCCAAAAATGTGGTAAAATTGTTATTTATTGATTTTGTAAAAAATGGTCGATTGGCTACTCTTAACGAAAGTCTTCTTGTGTGTTGGAGTTTGAAAGAACTCGATCTGCTACCGCTGCTTAACGTAATTTTTGGACGCGTTATCATAGAGACCCTTCAAATAGAACCTCGACTGGCATCGGAAGTTCAAGGCCACAGGTTACTTGGGAAAAAGAAAGAGATCTGGGAGACCAGCAACGTCTAATGATCAGGTTAAGTTCATCCGTACAACTGTTGTAAACACACCGAGGCTATCGACTCGGAGGGTGGGTATGGAACTTGTCTCTAACGTGGGTATGCTTTGCTTGTGAGGTTATGTCAAAGACAGAGATTTTGTACCTCCTTTGCCGTTGAATCTCTTGGAGCCCAGGTATCACATCACTGTACAAAGTGTTGATGAGGCCAATCTTTAAAAACGTTTGGTCAGAATTTTATTTGGGGATGTACTGCGTTAGGAGGAGAGTCGACGTAGTTCACTTAAAACACCCACAGATAGCAGCGGTGCTTGGAACGTAGCCGGTCCTATACTGCCAATTGGAGGAAGAAAGACGGGACAACAAGTTGATTTCTAAGCTTGCCAGATGGGATTTTACGAGGAAATTTACTATCAACCTACACCACAACAAAAAGCATGTCACACACTACGCTAACGTGGTATAGGTCTGCATTCGACCGACGCTAGGCTCGTCCTGAGCAACACATTGATGCACTGCAGTGTGGGTTTTGGATCAGGCCAAACAGTCTGACCGCGTGACGGCTGCGATCGCCGTGGGCAGTACTGACCCTTCCACAGTGAACGCGTTAAATTGCCATTTGATATGTTTTAATATTTTTTCATAAGATACTATCTTACATTTTTAACCCCACCATATTTCATTAACATAATTACCACTAGGTAATGTTTTGGTATATTTAAAAACAATATTACTAAAACTAAACAAACGTTGTTATAACCTCACCTTTCTAACATCATCTCTTCTTGTAACATAGTCACCAAGGTTCCAAAGCTCCCCTGCGAGCCTTCCCGCCCAGCCTTCAACTCTGAAATTGGTTTTAAGATAAGACCATCGGATCAGTTCAAAAGAAACTAATTATCCATTATCTATATATACATCCCAAAGTACCCATGAACTTTTGAGAAAACTACAAGTCACACCTCCATAAACCATATACTTAAAATGTTAAACATGACGAGAAACCTTGCTCAAAACTATCCATTATTTCATAAATTGCCCTTTAATTCCTTTCTAAAGGGAACTTTCCAAGTACCTAATGATGATAAAAATACCCCAGCTGTACTTATTTGTTTGTATTACTGTATTTTGTTTTGTTTATTTCAGCTTAACTTATCCAATCAATAGTTTTATGTATGTGCAATCTTTGGTTTTATTATTAAAACGTTTTTATTAGCTTGCTTTCTTGTCCGGTACAAATTTTGCAATCAATTTTATACTAACTTCCCGATGAGCTCTAGAGACTTGAAACTTGAAACATAGCTCACAAATGGAAGACAATGCAATATTATATCATTTAATTTTCATATTTCCCTTGGGCTACGCCCCACGGGCTTGTTTTTATTAACTCGCTTTCTTGAAAATTTTGATACTTCCCGATGAGCTAGAGACTTGAAACTTGAAACATAGCTCACAAATGGATAACAATGCAATATTATATCATTTAATTTTCATATTTCCCTTGGGCTACGCCCCAATGAGCTTGTTTTTGTTAGCTCACTTTCCTACAAATTTTGATATCAATTTTAAACGAAGTTCCCGATGAGCTAGAGACTTTAAATTTGAAACATAGCTCACAAGTGGATGACAATGCAATATTATAGCATTTAATTTTCACATTTCTCTTGGGCTACGCCCCACTGGCTTCCAATTTTTTTATGTTTACATTTTGAAAGAATGTAAATATATCAATTAATTAAAGTCAGCTGTAAATACTTAAATTTGACAGTTCAAAAAGCAGAGGTTAAGAGGTACAGGTTCTGCTCCCAAGAGATTCTTTATACAAACAAACATTTCAAAATAAAGATAAACAATCTGATTGCATATATAAAGGTGTTTGTTAATAATTTCATTTGTTATTTAAGTATTATATAAAGTTAACAATAAATTAAATAGGTTGATATATTTATAGTTAGTAGGTAGGCCATACATTCAATCTAATACATAGGCCTAATTATATAAAAAAAGAAACTCAAATAAACCTTAGATTTCCCACATGCCTCTGTCCTAATCTGATATAGATGCATGAAATAGATTTAACATCCACACACATTAAATACTAAAAAGTAGAAAATAATTTATAAATAAAAAACTTTTTTTAAAACAAAACGTTTTTAAATGCACTAAAAAGTAGAAAATAATTTATAAATATGTGGAGAGGATAAATACTTGTAAGATTTAAAACGAAAAACGTGGGGTGCATGCAATTGATAATAATACATTAGTTCAATAGGTGAAGGTAATTGTAAATCATCTATTGCATGCACCCCACGTTTTTCGTTTTAAATCTTACAAGTATTTATCCTCTCCACATATTTATAAATTTTTTTCTACTTTTTAGTGCATTTAAAAACGTTTTGTTTTAAAAAAAGTTTTTTATTTATAAATTATTACTTATGAAGTCAAAATGGGTGAAGCCCTTGGGTAACAAGCTAGTATTTTCCAACAAGCTTTTTTGACACTACAGGGTCTACACAGCAGTATTTATTTAAACCCAGTTTATTTATTTACTTAGTTATTAATTTTCAATGCAGATGAAGGTAAAATAAACATGTTACCATTGAATATTACCATTGACTATTGGATACAGAATAGTAATATTAATAGTCAAAGATATTACTGTACTCTATATCTTAAAGTTAATTGTGACAAAATAATGACTAGTAAATGAAATTAACGATACACACTTTTATCAGCTTGTGAAAACCCTTAAAGTTATAATGGATATAAGCTGTGGGAGTTCGATATTTTGGTACTTTCCTGTTAAAGGGAACATTCATTATTATCGATGATTTTTGTCTCGATATATCGATATTAACAAATTGAAACATATCAGCTGACAACTACGATGAATATTGTTCAGTATAAACAAACAATAATGAAATGAAACTGTTCTAAAAAAAATAACCTAACATACTAACCAAACTTGCTGTAAAATTTCAAAATTCCGTGTTTAACTTGCCTTTTCTATTATCAAACCCAAACGGAATTTTTAAATGGTACAGCAAGTATGGTTGGTTATGTTAGGTTAGCTTAGAACAGTTTCATTTCTTAATCCATGTAATAGACTATTTCAAAACAAGATCAGTTAGTTGTTGTTGTTACCACATAACACTCCCAACTATATTGTTTACTTAGAAACATGTTTTGAAAAGTTATATTTCTTTAATCTACAAATTAACGCAACATACTTTAAGGTTTTTAATTTGCCAGAATCACGCTTACCAAAAATTATTGCTAAATCTGTAATTGGAAAAGGTATTTTTTGGGCCAAAGAGTGGAAATGTCTAGGGCAAAAACACGGTTTGGATATTAATTTCGAGTCAGCAGATGTTTTTGAGGGATTAGTGAAGATAGGGTAAGGCGGAAAGAGATAGATGGAGAATTGATATGGTTGGCAGAGCGCGTACATCGCAATATCACCAACAACTGCTTGCCGTTGACCTTGACCTAGGGCCCAGGAGTTTTCTCACTGATAGCATCAATATAAATCTTATCTCATGGGTCATTAAGGCCCGAGCAGAGCTGGTTGATTTGAATCACAAACCATGGATAACAAATAAAAATCATTTTTGTAGTTTGTGCAATTTGCACGAATTTGAAACAGTTTTTCATTTTGTTTCTAATTGCCCAATTTTAGGCGATATCAGGGAGTATTGGTTTGGAAAACGAAGCATGCATTGGGGCGAACACATAGAATACATAAATGGTAGGGATTGGCGTAAATTAGCAAACTTTATGAGAGAGGCGTGGAGAAGGAGGTGGGAGTTAATTAGAGAATTTAATTACGAATAAATCAAGTATTTTTTTTCCAAATTCAAAATTGTTTTATTCTCTTTCTAATTTATAAATTATAGCAAAACAATAATTATGTCAAATAACATGTCAGCCTGTCTTCTTGAATATTCATAGTAGTTTTTATAGATTTCATTATGCGTAAACCTTTTAAAACCTAATAGTTTTAAAAATAAAATAATACAAGTTATGTAAACAATATTATGAAAAAGGTAACTTTTTGTTTTGTTTAAAATGGATGTAAAATTGTATGTAAATTTGTGTATGTTATTAAGTGTATTTTGTTTCAACTTCATTTTCATAAATGTGTTTTCCAGGTGTGCCAACCAAACAGACGGTCGTAGACCATTGTTTAATTAAATGTTATGAGAGGAATGTTTATGTTAAAATAAAGCACTTTTTCATTCATTCATTCAGTTAGTTGTTGTCAATTTGTAATGGATCGGAAAACAAAAATATTGATATATCGAAAAAATCATCGATAATAATGAATGTTCCCTTTAACAGGAAAGTACCGTACTGATATTTTTTATGAGTAAAATCACAAAAATTTCATAACCTTTTCAACCCTAAGTTTTATACTGGGTTGGGGGTTGTACCATTTTGTTTAGAGCTAAACAGAATAGGCAGCTATAACATACTAATTTAAATCAAAATGGTTAGAGAAAGTTTTTCCGAAAAATTGATTGTTGTCTATCAAGTTACGAGTTTCCCTTCTTTTCCTTTTGGGCGCGGTTTTTAAAACCATTTCCCAATACATGTAAATTAATTATAGTTTGGTGAGTTTCTAATCCTCATGTGTGTAGGTACTGTTTACCAAGTGACAACCGGTCTCTTGTGTAATATTTAAATATATACATCTGACCGTGGCAATGACCTTAGCGTCACATATTACTTATCTGGTGATTGGTAGCAAAGGTGTTTAAGGATTTAATAATTTGTCGATTATTTGTTGCTTACGTTAAGTGGAGATGGTAATGAGTTACTGTAGCCTACTAACTTAATAGTTCCTTCTAAAAAACAAAATAGCATAATTTTTCTTCCTCTAAGTATTTATAAAATGTAGACAGTTTTTCATACTAATAGCTATCTGTATTTAACCCCTTTTTAAATTAATGATGGCAAAGATTACACACATTTCAAAATGTATTACTTTTGATTTGAGGTTTTTGCATGTTTGTATGATGATAAGACAAAACCAGTTTGTGTATTTTATCTTTATACAAATCGTGTTACATTTACAATAATTAGTCAATTAGGGGCTAAACTAACTTAGGGAGATAGGGTTTGTAACTTACACTGTGAAAGTCCAAGTTACTGTATCGATTCAATTTACACCACAATATAATTTTATTTATACTTACATTTGGGGTTTTATTTCTTCCTTATCTCTGCTATCCTGTTGTTGTGTAAATGAAACAAACAATAACTGACCAAGCACAACAGTATAACAAAAGTTAGTTCTCATTTTTCGCCGAACATGAACACATTTAATCAGCTCTCTGTCGTCTGCTAGCGCAGTGGTTGCTGCTAAACTGCTGTCTGCTAAAATCGATATTACCAACACCAACCCCCCAAATCCTAATATAATTCCCGACGGTCAACTCCACTCCTCTAACAGCAAACGCATGCGCACTATTATCAATTTTGTTAATGCCTAATTGGCTCTAAGTGGACTCGCTCATTTTGATTGCCATCCCATGTGCTCACATGTGTTATTGCTACCCGCTAACATAGATAAATCATACTGCTACCCAGTATCATGCATTGCTGTTAAAACAGTACCTAGCAACAGTGACAGTTAGTGATCATTACTTTTGTTACCTTCCATTATAACTACCTTAATACCTGTTGCGACGTCGTTTGAATAGACTGTGTCAAGGATAAACTAAAAATAATATTTACACTATTTACACTTTGTTATACTATTGTTATCACTATTTGTTATTACTATTGTTATCACTATTTGTTATTGCTTGCTATTACTATTTATTTGGCTATCACTTTGTTATTACCATTGTTATTACTTTTCTAGTTAGTAATATTGCAAATGCCATCTCAATTGTATACACATATTTTGTAAAAAGGTGCAATCCGTTGGGAAATAAATAAATATAAATAAATATTTACAATACTTTAGGCAATTTAGACAACTTTAGGCAACTTAAGACTAATAGAGTCTTCAAGAAAACTTATACATTTTACAGTAAAACGTCACAATACCGCGACACTGTCAAAAGGCTGTACGTATTATGTATTAGTGATATTATACGTACTTTTTATTATTTTTTTTTGTTCGATAAACATTTTACAATTTTTCATCAAGTTGCACGCATGACTAATGGTTGAGCAATTTTTTATTGTCCAAACAGACGCAATCTTAATTAAACTTTAGTGTCCAGTTGTCCTAGTTTTCTTTAACAAGTCCTATAGTCTAATACAGCATAATACAAAACTATGACCAACACAAATTTAGTGTGAAACAGGTGCGGTTGCCCCATAATAGCAGTATTGTGGGAAAAGAAATTCTAGAATCTGCTGGTCTGGGGCCCATTTCATAATAAAGTACAAACTAATATTATTAGTAAATCAGCTGATCGCCCAATGCAAATCTTATGGAAATTACAAGTTACAAGTTGTAACTTGTAGTTTATGGGCTTGTTGTTAAATGGGCCCCTGGTTAAAGAAACCAAAAATGTGCAAAAATTGCGTTAGTTGCTCAAGTTCATAATGACCGTAATATCATAGATAAAACATAGTAGGGACTATGTTTTATCTATGGTAATATTAATTTCTTTCATACATTTTCATTTTAAATACCCCCACCGCAGCAAACCTGCCGGATAAGCGAATTTCCATTTGTCTGAATTGATTTTCAATTGAATCTATTTAAATAATTAGGTTTAATGAGTACCTAGGTTTGCTGATACAAGGAAACTAATAAAGTGTGTTTTTTAGTAACATATTAATAGTTTAGTATTAAATAAATTAATTTGCCAAGTTTTATCAAAATATAGGTATCCATAAACAAGCAAACTACAATATTTTTCAATATTCCCCATAAAAATAACATAGCCTAGTATTTTAAAATGTATATATTTTTGAATTTTCTCCGTTACCAAACACCGTACAACAACACTTTGACATACTAAATTATTTATTTTTTTAAAGCTCTTTAAAGGTCAAGAAAGAAATTAGGAAAATTTTGGTTTTTGAGGGTCAAAAATAAGAAAAACCATTTTTCCAAACCATAAAACCCCGTTCCCATGCCTATGGTCCGACCATGCTGGTTCGGGAACTAATCCAAGTATATCCTGACTTACACCTTTAATCCAAATTTCATCAAAATCGGACAAAAATTACTCAAGTTATCGCATTCACGGGCACACACACATATATGTACATATATACATACACATATATATCTACAGTATATATAATTATATCTATATATAAATATATATCTATATATATAATATATATATGAAGGAATGGTGTTTTTGGCCTCTGGGGACATCAAAACGAAAAAGTAAATTGGTCCCGGGCTTAGGTCTTACCATTCCAACGACGGTAATAGCATAGATAAAACCATTGACTATATAGGTATATATAGTCAATGATAAAACATACTCCTCGTTTTATCTACGGTAATAGCTACTTCCCCATAGAGAATTTCGGGGACAGCTCACTTAGTCTATACGAGCTTTGTAAATAATATTTAAGGTTCACTTGAACTACAGGCTCGTCCACTATACGAGCCTATCGAAAATATAAAGAAATTCGCTAAAAACAAACCTAAGGACCAAATTTTGGTTCGTTATCTTAAGAGATTTAATTAAATTTGAAACCCAAACCATATTCAATCCTTAAAATATTTCTTATTCTTCACTATCACGTACTGTAGCTACTGTATTTCTATTTCACTCAACTGGTCTTTCCAACCAACAATGCTCAGAAAAAAAATAAAATCGTTCCCTAATGGTATCGTCTCCGTCTGGTTCTTCTTGAAAGACGAATACTAACAGTTACTTTGACAATTTTCTTAAAATCTAATAATTTTGTAGAAAAGACAATTAATTACAAAGTCTGACCCGCGATAAACTACCTTGTAATTTCACTACAATAAGTTATGGCGATTATGGTAGCTTTTATTTTGGGATTCCTAGGTTGTTGTCAAATTGTTAAGTTTGTTGACAATTATATTCTAGGCTTGAGTGACACCTGTCAAGAGTTCGCTCCTTTCACTAAGGAAGAACCTAGGCCTACCAATAATGGTTCAAGAAGCTGAAGGAAGATCTAGTTCCATAACCAAGGCATTAGATAAGATAAAACAAGTGAGTAAACCACTTAAGTTATTTTTTACTTGGGAACGCATGGAATCATGACCTAAGTTAGGCGCAACAGATGTGTGAATAAAAAATGTATAAAGTAAAGTTTTAAAAACTTATTTAAAAAGTTTTTGGGCTTTTACCGCTAGGCCTACCTAGTCCTATATTACCAAGGCTAAAAGTTGCTTTTAAAGCCTTATAACTTAGTTAATGATTTGTAGGATTTAACTTTATGGTAGGTGCAGGCCTAGGAGTTTTAACTAAAGATTTTACGCCTAAATAAAATGTTTACAGAGGATACGTGTCCGGTAACCGGACGTGGATTAGGCGTCAGGCAGTTAAGTACGTCACTGGGTTGTGGGGGTCCGGAACGCCATTACCACAACGATAACTTAACGATGTAGGTTACAGCCATCGGTGTTCGTGGTGTAGTGGATAGAGTGCTTGGCTGATATTCAAGAGGTACCTGGTTCAAATCCCGTCGGTAACCTTAACTTTTTGTCAAAGGTTTCGCTTTGAATGCAATTTCTTCTTAACTGTAACTTACGTCTTTTTGTTAGAATGTTACGAACAGAATTAAACCTTCATTTGATTTTTTCATAATCAGCAAGTTTGGTTGGCTAGGTAAGTTATGACAGGAACTACCATCTGTGCCTTTGGTAGGTGTACTAAGCTAAGGGTTCTGGGGAGTGGAAATTCGTTGTGCTTTTATGTTTCCAAGTTGGTTTTGTGTTTCTTAACTGTGTTCCTTGTTAAATTAACCTTTTAACACGTTGATTGCTAATAATTATGAGCATATTACAGTAGGTAGGCCTACGACCCTAAAATGCAAAGAAATTACTGGGTACAATGCTATTACTTCCCAAAAATGCTGTCAGGGCAACTTAAGTTATCCAAATAGAAGAATCTAGATGTCTGTGTCGATTTTGGTTGATATTTGTGTCGTCACTCCCGGGGTGAGAATTCCCGTCCTTAGGTACCGTAGCCTACTGATACCGGTCCTTGTCAAACCCCTAACTTTTTTTCACTAGGTACTTTTTAACTTATAATAAGTTTTTTATAGGTACCAATTCAATAAGTTAACTTAACTTAGTTCTTATCAAATCAATATTTGTAGGCTATATAAAATAGGTACGGTATATTTTAAAAACCTCCCCCCCCCTCCGCCATTAGGATACTATTTCCTAAAGTCTATTAAGTTTAGTGTTCAGAAATTTCAACCACAAAATGTTTTCAAAAAGATTTTTTTATAATTGTGCTTAAGAAATATATTTTGTAGCCTATGGGTGGAAATAATAAAACTATAACGACCTAGCACCTAACATTAATATTAGGGTGACCCGGGGCAATTCTGGCAGCCAGACGTGAACCTTAACTTTAACTGCTTGTACCGGGGTGTACATATTTTTTATTTTATTTGGACAGTTACCATAGTAATTCTATGTTATTCCTCTAGTGTTTTCATATATTTAGACAACAATCTCAAACTCCCCTTAAGGGGGTTTGAGTTTTTTTTTTTTGGAGTGTCAGATGCCAGAATTGCCCTAACCTTGGGGCAATTATAGCAATACCTTATATTTTCCTTAATGTTTAAATTGCTCTGACATTGGGGCAATCATGGCATAGGCCTAATTTAGCTGTTTAAGATGGTGTTTTAATTTTTGTTCTATCTCTATTTATAAGGAAGTTGTGAATAAAACGGTAAGACAGTACAAGCGTCTTACTCAAAACGTTTATATGCTTTACTTACATGACCAGTGTTAACTTAACAAATATTCACACAAATTCAAACTTAGCCTATACATTGGAGAACAGTTCCAATACGGTATGTTAACAGTCACTTTATAGCCTACTGGTAATAAAAAATCAAATATAACAAAAATATAAGAAAAAATAAAACTTGCTTAAGGCAGGACGGCTATAGGTCTAGTCCTTAGTCAAAGTCCGAGTCTGAATCCACTGGAAACAATTCTGCCTTGTATTTTGATACCCACTGATACATTTTTTCTGCCACTTGACATTCTTTAACTAAAAATGGCCCTTGTCCTTCAAGAGTAAATGAAAAAAAAAAAAAAAATGAAACTCCACTTAACGACATCAACATCGTTAATTTAAGTTAAAACAGGGCCTTAACCTCAAAACTTCTAGCAACAATAAACAATAAAAATAATCAGCTGCCATAGAGTAATCTAAGCAATGTG